TCTCTTAAGTTAACCGTTTTCAACAAAAAGACATTTAAATTTGTAAATACATAAAAAATGCGTTTAAAAGTTATTTTCCGCTATTAAAATTACTAAAAGCTCGTTAAATATTTTATTATGACAAAAAAAGATGCTATAAAAGGTAGTTTATAATTACTCCATCGAGTGCTAGACAATGGAAATTTGTTTAATATTTTTTTTACACAAAAAGTCAGAAATAATGGGTCAACACTCAGCTGGAGATACTAGACACCAAAATATTATATTTGAGACCATCGTTTTGCCTTGCCAGTACGCCAGTATTTAAATGAACATTTTCCTCATCGGTGGATTGGCCGTAGGAGTCAATTTAGTTGGCCACCGAGAAGTCCAGACTTAAACCCTCTGGACTTCCCAGTATGGTCAAACTTGAAGGATGTGGGGTATTGTGAAGAAATTAATTCTGTTGAGGAGTTACGGCAGAATATACAAGTAGCCGCGAATGCATTTAAAATAATAGGGACATTTTGTTTAATATTCAGAGACATTTAAGAGGGTGTATAGTAAATGTATTGGCGTAGGTGGTGGACACTTCCAGCATGTTGTTATTGTTATTTTCATCTTTTGAGAACAAAAAATCACCACAAAATACTTTGAAACCTTTAAATGCAAATAATTTCTTAGTTATTTGCGATAAAGTTAGGCGACCTAAACAAGAGTACATTTTTTATGTAGAACTAAACGTTCTTTTAGATTTTTTAAGCATAGCTCAACAAATAAAAAAATATTTTATGATTTACCTAAATAATACTGTGAAACTAGCGCCCTCTAGAAGCTACGACAAAATAAGCTTCAAATTCGTAATTCTCACACCAAAAAACCTAACACTACAAATTTTCAGAGTCATGCTATCAAAACTTCCTCAATTATTGAGACATTTCAGAATAAAATTTAAACCTTCAACACCCTGTATTTTTTAATCCAGCGACATTCGTATAAGCCATATGAGCTCAAACATAAAATTTTGGTGTCTAGTATCTCCAGCTTAATGTTGACCCATTCTTTCTGACTCACCCTGTATATAAAGGTACAATTCTGTAATTCGTACGACCAATCTGATCTCAATGAAGTTTTTCCTATGACGGATTCTGAGAGATAAAGTAAACAAATGAAGATCCAATAGTTTGTATGACAGATACACAGGGTGTCCGGCAAATAGATATACAATGTTTGACCAGAGATTCCTTAACTTAAAACAATCCCATTTAGCCCAAAATTGCTCAATTTAACCACAACAAAGCTTAAAAATTTATTTTTTGATGCTCTATTCCGCTAGAGTCAAAAAGAGTGGTGGAATTAGTTTTGGATGAGCAGTTGCATCAGGAAAAAATATGTTAGAATCTCTATACGCATCTGCTGCTGTTGTTAAGTCCTAACGAAAAAAAGTAGTAGTCTTTTTTTTTCGTCAACAATAGTTAAACCATCGCCTACTAATCACAGTACCCGTATTACAAAGCCGACTTCATCTAGCTGATTATGAATGGTGTGAATATAACACGGTGTCACTACACGGATATTGTGACGTCACTTGAGAGAAAGACTGACGAAATCATAGCATAATATATTGACATGAAAAAGCAACTTTCCGTCGTTTTTCTGGTAAATCAGAACTGTTTTTGGATGAGCAGTTTCTACAGGAAAAAATATTTTAGAATCTCTATACGCATCTGCCGCGTTGTTCCATCAAGTCCTAGCGAGAAAAAGTAGCAGAAATTGAGGCTGACATGTTACTAAACGTATGCATAATCAACATCAACTCAAAATTTTCTAGATTGAAGTCATTGATAATGATAACTTTATCCTTGGTCCTGTTGTTCTTCCAAATCGGAGAGAGTTACTTAAATTTTCTGCAATAAACATTACCAAATCTATTAGAAGATTACATGAGGTTTATGGATGATGGCTTGATTGCCCATTTCCCTCTAACTGTCAGATTTTTGTAATGAACAATATCCTAAACAACAAATGGGCAGGGAACACGATAAACAGGCCTGGTAGTTCACCGGATTTAACTCCCCGCGACTACTTTTTGAAGGGTGCCTTGAAATCTATGGTTTATTCATCTCCAGTAAAGAGGAACTGCATAGACGAATTGTAAATGCAACAGTTTCACTGAAAAATAAAGCGGAAACGATCCGGAGGCTTCATTTAAATTTTCTGCGTCGAATTAATTTATGCGGCGGCCATTTTGAATACCTTGTTATAATATTTTCGTTTTTGTAGTTACTATGTTAATTGTTTATAATTAAATAACTTATTTCTGGCTATACTGCACATCCAGAAATAAAAATTCGCTAAAATCAAAAGAAGTTTACAAATTATTCAAATTAAGCCTGCTAATCTTAAAATAATAATGTACAAAAATACAGTAGCGGCTCTTGACTTCCATACCAGGCAGTGCGGAAAAATTTAGACACAAAGTACTGAAAAAAAAAATTAAATATGATTGGGTAGTTTTATTTTAAGTACTATTGAAATGTAACCACGACCACCGCTGCAACATTTTACAGATGTAGAGCGAGCTGTGCAGAGCCCACGTATTCAGAATTTTTCAAACGAGCAAACATTTTGTACGTTCTCAAAATTACTTTGCACAGCATAAAAAAACATCTTAATGTAGAAATTGACATCCGAAATACGACTAAAATCGATGGACACGTTATTGAGTTATTCCAAAAAAAAAGACGAATATTTTTTATGAATTTTTATAAGCCTTCTAGCGGCTAAAGTGGGCGATATTGGTGGCAATTATTCCGAGTCAAGGCATCTTTGATAAAATGTTATACATGTATTTTCCGAAGACCCTGTACATCACAAAATAAGTAATTAAATAATTAACTAATGATATAAATCTATTTAAATTTAGAAAAATATAATTTTTTATGGTTACAGATTCTAAACGTTTGCTTCTATTTGTTTTTCGACCCATAACAACTGGGTTACAATGTTTGTAAAGGATTTTTAAGTAGGCAATAAAAATAAAGGGGTCTGACTCACTGATCAAGTCTCCGATAGGTAAATTCGTCTTCGAATTCCGATAGGCCTTATCATATATCATAAATTTAAAAGCAATAAAAATATCAAATATTTGGTTTGGCTGATGGTAACAATGAATCATATAAGTTTGACTAACTAAATAAAGAAGTTTTTCCCAAATATTTTTAATTCAGCTTACCTCAGACATCGATATGACTATTGGACAAAAATAAATATTTACACTGCATGTCATTTTGGTTATTCCTAATCTTTAAACGGTTTTATTAAAAATATGTTAAAAGAGATCTACAGTTTTGAAGCAGAGGGTTTGATTTAGTTACAAAACTTACTATTAAATCGCAAAAATTAGTATTATTTACACTACTCCGCCATTATTTCATATTTTCATTGATGTTACAGCGAAACGATAAATTTAGTACTACGATGTGACCATTGCAACGTAAAAAACCCATTCGAGCTTCAGCACCAGGCCAATTTACACCTGACCCAGCGACTTCGCCATACTTGCGTTTTTATACGATTTGTACCGCACAGGTTAAACGATTACCATATTAGAAACCTCCTTAACTGCGTTAAAAATTACAAGTAACTAGTAAACAACTTTCAACATTTCGCTGATACACAAACCTAGTTAGTAATACCTAAATTTTTTCAGGATCTCCGACTCGAACGCCTTCTACCAAAATAAACCATGTGTGAATCCGCTGTTTTCATATTCCCGGTTAAATATGAATTTTTACGTTCGCTGCAGTTGATGAGAAACGTTTTCTGCAAATTAAAACTAACATCTGTGTTTATTTACCCTCGTCCGACAAGAAGGCTTGCGCTTGCTGCATGTATCGACAAAGTTATTTTGAAGACGTATTTACAAACCAATTTCGAATATTAGGACATTTTTATTTTAAACACCATGTTTACGCTTACTTTTCAACTTAATCTATGATTTATTTCACGGAATGCAGAAGAATGAGGAGTACCTATATTTAGCAAATTTGGAAGAATTCCAAGAATGTAAGGTGATGTCGATTTTTAGACACTGTCCTGTTGCACTGATATAAAATTCAATTTCACAATTCACCTATCCTTCAAAATCAACAATTTTAGAATATATAGGTATCCACCTACAAAACAGGTAAAGCAAATATGTTAAATGAAAAAAAAACGTCTGTGTTATGAATATTTGACATTTTCAACAAACGTTTACCGTTGTTTAAAAATTATTTTAATCTTCATGCAATGCCTACTTATCTGAAGAATGGTACTATGGCAAACTGCAAGGGTCCTTTCGGTTCTTTTTTGTCCTCGTTAACGTATGCAAACACACACTAGTGGGTACTATTGGCATCGCCAGGTTAATAAGAAAACCGGTCTGAAAATCAAACAAATCTCTGGCTGGCAATAATTCCCCTAGGTTGCACGCAAAATACACCATTTTAATCTTTCCAAATAGGTACTGAAATGTTGATTTGAATGACGAAATTGTCACAATGAAAATCCAGGTACCTACCTTTGACATAACTACCAAAACCAAGTCATGGAAAACAAGTGCAAATCTGCACACGGGTAAGCCATAGTAGCATAAAAGGAATTTGAAAATAATGATTAAAGGCCTACATTCATGCCTTTTTTTTGTAAAATAGTCACTAAATATAGCATCCAGTACTATATCGGTAAACACTCAATGCAAAAACCGTTTGCAGATTAGTTTGAGACTTTAAAATTGTGAATTTTCTGGGTGTATTCTGCTCGTTCATTCAATTTTAGTTGAAACGGCAGAAAATTGGTTTAACTGCAACTATCGGTCACGCCTGTGAGGAAATAAGCAACGTTTTTTAATGCATCCACCCTTTTGGGCAGCAAGAAACAAAAGAAATAATTCAAGGTTTTTCTCGACTTCGTCTTCCCCAGTAAAGGCAAACAGAGTAAAGTTTTAGTTTCTATAAAAAATGGTTCGTTCCACTTACCTTTTTCTATAAAATTCTTCGATTTGATAAAATTTGGCACTGCACTAATACACCGGCGACGACTACACCCCTACACACAAACAATGAGACTGAAAATTTTCACAGAAATTTGATACTGAAACTGGCTATTAATAAATGCGCGCAAGCGCATCGCCAGCGGATGTGTTTAAAATTTTAAATACTAAATAGCTTGTGCAAGTGAATCGAAAACTTTCATTGCCCCATCATTTTCAAATATTCTTATTAGACTCGTCACTACTGTTTCACATTTATATGGAGTATTTATAATAACTTTGAAAAGATGAATACATTTATTACAGTAAATTTGACTTATGATGTCGCTGCGCATGCGCCTTATCTCGCAAGCCAATTTTACTGTGTCTAAAGCTACAAAAATATTTTTATGAAGAGTAACTGTTATTTTGAGTTAAAGTAGTTAAATACATAATTGTCACAGTTTATTTATAGGAGAATAATATTTTCTTATACGTTCAAATATAGTAACAATAAGTAGATATACCACATTTTTTTATTTTACTGTATAATATATGCTGCTGTGGACGATAATTTAGTCACTCTAAGTACAATGTCAACATTTTGACAAGTCTGACATTTTTGCTCTACAATGGCAGATAATTTACAAAAGAGGCCTGCAAAAGGCATTTTAAAAAATTCTAGCAGCTTTGACAAGCAGGAATCACAGCCGAATGCCAAGTGAGAATAATATTTCAGGTTTTTTTTCTATTTTCTCTTCAACTTTCTTGACCCTACCCTCTTTTTGGTTAGGAATTCCAATTTATGACTAACACTGCTAACATAAATAATCGAACCTTAAACTGTATTCTGTATATACCTGTATTTTAGAAAGGCGAAAGAGACAAAATGGGATGAAATGAATATAATTGCAACGTTACATCCGCCTGGGAAGGATTATGGTCATATGAAAATCGCAGAACCGAAAACACCTTACAATTATGCAGACCCAGATAGTATCGATGGCTTAGATGCCAAAGAGCTAGCAGAAAAGTATGTTACATACCCCACATTTATTAAAATAATATCTTAAATTTTGTGTTTTTGTAGAATAAGAATAGGTGCTGATAAACCGCCGAAGGCAATGTTAGTAGATTCAGATGATTCAGACGAGGAAGAACTGACGGAAGAAGAGAAGCAGAGAAAGAGGGAATTTGAATTAAAGAGAAAAAAGCATTATAACGAATATCAAGCCTTGCAGCTGGCAAAAAAGTTACTGGAAGAAGAGGAAGACGATGAGGATAACGACAACGGCGCTAACACCAGTCAATTTTGATTTCTCTGCCGAAATAAACATTTTATTTTAGTAGATGATTTTCCATATGTTGTGATGAACGATACTAATACAGAGCACTTATGAACTCTGTAAGTTATATATATTTATTGTTTTCTTTTTGTAATATTTTATTTATTCAATTATATTTAAGGATTGCCTAATTTTGGAAAGTAGTATTTAAGTGTGTAGTTGCTTATGATTTTTATTTTATAAATTATGTGCTTCCAAGAAAATAACATGAATCAAATTGAAAATGTGCCATGCGAAATTGACTACCAAGTAATTTTATCTATGAAACTTCTCTTATTTATGAATATTTATTGTAATTTGACGTTTTCTTACACTGAAATATATTTTACATGGTTCTTTTTTAATTTTTCTTTTTATTCTTAAGCTGGCAATCCTTATATCACTCCATACTGTTTAACAATTGCATTGGCTGTGTACGAATATTAATTTAAATAATGGCAACTTGTTTTTCTGATACTTTAATAAAAAAAGACGCCCTTTATATATTCGCCTACGTTTAAAGAAACACACATAAAATTGGTAATATAAGTGCGAGTGTACTGAGATGGAAGAATATAAACTTTTATGTAATATTATAAAAAATATATTTTAGTTGTATTAAATAAAATTAGAAGACATATTTCTTCAGCTGTACCACCCCAAGATCCTATTTTGTTGTAAAAATGCAGATCTATTAATAATAATTGTGAATAAAAAATAAATGTTTAAGATAAATCTAAATGTATAAAAATTAACTTTATGATGGCCAAAATACAGATTTAAAACAAATTTTTGTTTCATTCGTTCCTGAGCAATTTACTTTGAAAATCCCCCGGTTATTGAGTTTCCGAACTCTCCAAAGATGGCGCAAATCGTTAGTGACAAAATTAAATCCCTAGGTAAACAAGGAAAAGTAAAAACGCCATTTTCTGTTTTACGTCGTACGCAGTAAATTATTTGTGTAGAAAGATATTTTTTTACCTTTGGAAACATCACAAACTACCTACTTTAAACGTAAGTAAAAAAGAAACATAACGCATAGTATCATTACAGTGGACTTACGAATTATATTTCATCCATGTTCTTTTGTGAAAGAAATCAGCTGACAATACATAATTGTATTATTTTCATTGTCAATAAGTTGATAATGAGTCAGTTATATGGGTGCTATTTTACGTTATTGAGAATTCACGCCCCTTAAAATCTACCAGTTCAAAAATTAAGAATTTCTCAAACTTATTTTTAATTTTTGCTGATATTCAAGAAAAATTTCACCATATTTTTTTCAGAATATCTGATGTCATAGTTTAATAATACCCGAAGCAAATCACCAGAAGTAATTATCACCACGCACCTAGTAGTTTTCTAAAAAATTACTGTACTGTGTTAAAAATTTTTGTTTTTCATTCATAGGACAAAAATGGCTAGTCGGAAGAAAGTTCTACTGAAAGTTATAATCTTGGGTGACTCTAGCGTTGGAAAAACATCCTTGATGAATCAGTATGTGAATAGGAAATTTTCTAACCAATATAAAGCCACCATAGGTGCTGACTTCTTAACAAAGGAAGTTACTGTTGACGATAGAACTGTTACAATGCAAATTTGGGACACTGCGGGACAGGAAAGATTCCAGTCGCTGGGTGTCGCGTTTTACAGGGGGGCGGACTGTTGTGTCTTAGGTAAGCATATAAAACCTAGTAAAGTAGTTCAGTCATACATTATGTATTTTTGTACTTTGTACTATAACATTTCTTGTGTACACCAAAGTTCTTCCCTGCTTATTAAATGAGTTATTTTCTATTAAATCTTTATTCAATGAACTTTAGAACTTACGTATATTTGCAGGTTGTAAAATATATTTCAAGTTTATTTATAAAAACATTGTATGAGTAATGTGATATGAATGCTTTGTTGTTTAAAGTAATCTTATTTATGGTTAAATATCCTGACAATAAAGTGTCAGTCTTGAAAAACACAGATTAAAAACTTAACAAATCACACACCTTTATTTATTGTGTCCCAATACTCCAGTTACAGTGTGGTCACATGAAAATTGCCATATCCTTTTCCTCTGTTAATGTTCGAGATGTGAAAAAAATGTAGGATTAAAAGTTACAGAAGTTTTTAAATATTTAAATATCACGAACTGTTTTATTTCCAATATGTGGGCCTAACTTTTTTTTAATAAACCATATATACAGGGTGGTTCAGATTTTAATAGACAAACTTTGGAAAAGTACTAAACAACAAAAATTAACATCACTTTGCTCTATGAACATAGGTGCAAAAAGTCTCCACAGTTTTTTTTAAATATCTGGAAAATCGCTTCATCAAATTTATCCAAATTTGGTACACATTTTTCACTATCATAGTAAACATGTCGAAATCAACTTTCAAGTAACACGAACAAGTAAAGTAAACGTAAATTAAATCAATTTGTCTATTAAAATCTGGACCACCCAAATTCATTTTATTTTTCCTTCTTTCAACGTTTTGTTTACTTGGATTATATGTCTCATAACTCGTAAACCATTCACTTTTCGACAAAAATAAAAGAATGTTTTTTCATCCGTAATGTTTCAGACCATTATAAAATGTATTCATATTACCAATTAATTCAGTGGCGTAGAAGTTTTACTCTAAAGAAGGAAACGGTATCCTTGTTTCTCCGCCACTGGTTTTTGAATTTGGACTGTGTGCGTACAGAACTAGGAGAAATATTTGAAAAAAAATGTNTAGAAGTTTTACTCTAAAGAGGGAAACGATATCCTTGTTTCTCCGCCACTGGTTTTTGAATTTGGACTGTGTGCGTACAGAACTAGGAGAAATATTTGAAAAAAAATGTGTACCAAATTTGGATAAATTTGATGAAGCGGTTTTCCAGATTTTTAAAAAAAATTGTTTTATTTTTGTTCATTTCAACACCCTGTACCTCATAAACGGTGACTTTCGCGCCTATGTTCATAGAGCACAGTGATGTTAATTTTTGTTGTTTGGTACTTTCCTCGAGACATTCCTGAAGTTTGTCTATTAAAATTTTGGCCATCCTGTATTTTTACACCAATGAAAAGGCTGTAATTATGAGCTCTTCAAAAATATATTATATGTATAATACTTATCTCTTATGTATTTTGTTTACATGCAAAATCGCAGTAAGCCACGAAAAGTGATATCTTTAAAAAATTACTTTATTTGTACAAATATACATAAACAAATTGTATCGAATATTGAATGAAAGATAATTTGTATTTAATTAGGAATAAAAAATAACAATTAAGACTTTATAACAAAACGGAAGAAATATATTTATAAAAATAGACCCCATCTTTTTCAATGTGAAATCTATATAAGTTTACTAAATTTTTATATCATATTATTTTCATTGATCATAATTTCTCTGCTTTCTCTTGAACAATAACCTTAATTTTTTTAAATGCTCCCATAAGAATGTATTCATTGGGATGAGACCAGAAATGTTGGATGGCCATTTTATTGTTCCCCATGTACCTGTCTAATTTCATTTAAAATCTCCTGTAGTCTTGAACTAGGAGGCAACACACCATCTTGTTGCCATATAATGTTATACCTCGTTAGGTGATAAAATTTTTGAAATATTATTTATGTCTACCTTTTTTCTCTAAATATAAATTGGAAACTAACAAAACCTGAAAAAAAATATATATCCTTAAAACTATTTCTATGTATAATACAGCAGTAATTAAATTATATTTTCTTTATACAAATGGCACAATTTGGCACCTTAAACTGCCAGTTTGTGGCAAACCAGAACATTGATTACGGTACTTGTTCAATCTAGAAACTATAAATCAGTATTTCTTAATGGCATCTTGTCCTTTCGGTACACTATGATGTAAGTAATGGATAGGTTTTTCTCTGAAATCATTAAAATTTGATAGCTTCTTAAAATCTTGCTTAAATTAAAAAAATAATGACGAATATAGTTAAACTATGTTTATTTAATATCGAAACGTGGTCAATTATTGGCCTATTTTTATTCATAAATCATCAGGAAATTCATGTGTAATCCTCCCAAAATAATACAATAGTAATTTCCTTTGTTGTACTGGTAGTAAATGATTTTTGTGATGTAAAGCAAAATTAATTTTTTACTGTTATGAAAGGAAAATGTATATAAATAAGCCACATATTTTTCAGCCACAGAACATCCTTGTTTCTGTACATAAATCGAAGTTTTTTTTTTACTTGGCACTATGCAGCTTAGTTTAACTTATGGAGTAATAACAATCAGTACTAGTATGTTATTTCGTCAAAAAAAAACCTTAGTTTTCGAGATATGGGGTGTTCAAATTGAAAAAGAAAAAAAATATATCTTTAATATCTTTCGACTATTTTGAGCTAATTTCATGAACACATAACACAGTTATATTACACAGGGTTTGTCCGGAAAGTAATGTGTCACATTTAAAAAAAAAATTATTGATCGAATAGGTTCAACAACTAAAAATTTTTCGGAATATGACACTTTTACATCAGTACGTTGCGTTGCTCTAAAGTTTTATTCATCGTGATGTGACCACTACGTAGACGTTCACATATAATCGCGTCACAAAAAAGTGCGACTCATTACTTTACAAACAGACCCTGTATAAGCTTCTTAAAATAAAAAATTCTCTATCTATTTCCTCTTTTAGAGAATTCAAGACCTTTCTATACGTATTCTAAAGAAATATTTTGTAATACTTACAAATTAATGTGTCTTATTTCAGTATACATGTTTTACTTTTATAAGTATTATCTTAATACGAGGTTTGATCAAAAAGTAACGGAAACGAAATTGTTACATTTTCAGAAAGTATTTAGTTAATCATCAATTTTTATCCCATCCCCTTCAAAGTGATATATATATATACTTTTGCGACCGTAGTTTCCAGTTTGAGAAATGTGGAACGCCGCTTTAGGTATTTCATGTATTGTTGAAAAATGTTGTCCTTTGAGTATTCTTTGGGGTTTGGGAAATAGGAAAAGAAAAAGTCACAACGGTGTTGCGTTTTATCGAGAACTGTTGGATAAGCAAAGCGGTATGCTCCGGTGTGTTGTTGTGGTGCGAAATCCCCGAGTTGTCTCTTGTCTTCTTGTCGTTCTCTGCTGGTTGTCTCAGGCAAATTACACAAAACTTCTAGGTAGTATTCTTTGTCAACTATATGACCAAGCAGTAAAAATTTGTGATGAATTATTCCATTGTAGTTGAAGAAAACGGTTAGAAGGACCTTCGCATTTGACCAGATCTCTTCAATGTCTTCTTGATCTTCCTAAAAACGTTTGTACCATTGATAAGCTGTGACATAGTATCGTTGCCAAAGGCCTTCTTTAACACAAACTAAGCGTGGCAACTGCCTAGAAATTGACAGTACAAAAATTCCCATTACTTTTTTATCAAACCTGTATTTATCTTAATCTTAATATTTACAGGGACGATTGGATCTTGAATTTTGCCGTCTCTGTTGAATTATATTTTAATTATATTGCTAATACGAATAAACGCAATTTATAATTTAATTTTTTTATTTCAAGTGTTTGACGTGACTGCCCCGAACACGTTCAAATCTCTGGACAGTTGGCGCGACGAGTTCTTAATACAAGCATGTCCGCGAGAACCCGAGAACTTCCCGTTTGTGCTGCTAGGAAACAAAGTAGATCTGGAGCCTAGGGCTATCTCCTCGAAAAGGGCGCAGCAGTGGTGCCAATCCAAGAACAACATCCCTTACTTCGAGACTTCCGCCAAGGAGGGCCTGAACGTGGAGCAGGCATTTTTAGCCATCGCCAAGAACGCCCTCGCCCAGCAAAACTCGACGGTGGATCTCTACAACGAGTTCCCCGATCAGATAAAACTAACCAACACGCAGAAACCTAACAGTAACGGTGATAGTTGCGCTTGCTAAATTCTAGATTTATTAGTTGTCTTGGTTTTGTCGGTGCGGCCAAAGTTTTCTTTGACGTTTGGTCGCATTGCTTGAAGATCGTCATAACAAAATTTAACAGTGGACTTTCTTAGCTGGTCTAATTTATTTTCCGTTGAAATTCTATTTTTTATACCGTAAAAGTAAAAAGTTGTTTCCTTTCATGATCTTTGTTTCTCTGCTTGTTTAATTGTGATATCTTTTTCTATATATAGATAGAAGAAACCATTTAAGCGTAGACTATTAATTGCTTTCTAGGCCCCCAAGATCGGGGGCGAAATTTTTAAATTTAATCCTGTACATTTTTTCCATGTCGCTTGTTCTGTTGGAATTATATATCGCAATATTTTCAAATGTAAATAAGGTATACAAGAGGTTATTTATATTATAGTTGCCTTAACGTTATTTGAGATAATTTTAATCGTATATATTTAAAAGAAAAATTAAGATTGTAAAATATAATTTTCATTTTATTTTTAAGTAGCTAATAATCCATATCAATATTTCTTTTATAAATAGTACAACAGAAATATGTTTTACTTTTTTCTCAACACCGTATTGTTCTGTGGGAACAACATCACCGATAGTTTTACTGGTTACAGAGTGTTTAGTAGTATAATTCGTTCGGGGTTACTGAAATCGATGGTAATTAGAGGGCAGGAAATTTAAAACACATTCTTTGTACACAGTTAGTTTGCATTAAATCGTTATGTTCCATTATTTTACTATTTGAGATGAGTTATATTGTAGAATATTACAAATTTGTATATTATTGATAATATTACAATAAACATATATACAAAAAAATGTTTTTTATTGCACATCTTAACAAGGATTTAAGACAAAATTAATATGACCTGGAGAACATTGGACCACCTTGTTGCAACTGACCTTGGTAATTTTAAAAATATTTTTGTTCATGGGTTACTAGCACTTTTTTTAGATAAAATTAATGACCTATATTAGGATCATATTCCATGCAAAGAAATAAATCATTGCCTGTCAAGGGATCCAATGCAGTCCGCTTTTAAAGGTTTCAGAAATTGAATAATTTATTCATTATGAAGGGACAAGGGGATCAGTTCATATCTGGCACCCTTGTTCCTACAAAAATTCCTTTATTCTCATAAACTATTTATTTTAAATGTAATTTATTATAAATTCAATTTATTTTTTAAATTCCACATATGTACAACATTTTACCTCTGTACGTGCCACTGTTGTTTACTTGTTTTTTGGAGGTGCTCTCTGACTAACGACCAAGCTTGCCAGGTTAGTATTTGACGTATAACTGATCACTTCGTACACTCGATGCACCTGGACGACTACAGCTACTACCAGAACACAGTGCGAATGCAGCTGTATTTCAGAATTTAACATTCAATTTCATTTTAAATTTGAAATGGTTCATGACACGCTTTTCCTTTGATAAAAGACCGACAACTTTTTGCTCTACTTTGCATCGAATACGATCCTACTATAGAGAATATTAGACCACCTTGTTGCAATTGGCCTTGGTAATTTTAAAAATATTAATTCGTGGGTTACTGGCATTTTTTGTTAAAATTGAAACCTAGAAAATATTAGGCCACCTTGTTGTAAGTGGCCTTGGAAATTTTAAAAATAATGGGTAATTCCATTTATCTTAAAAGATTTTAGTCCAAATAAAGCAGTGGCGGCTCGTCGGGTGACGCAAGTGACGCACCGCTTCACCTAAAATTTCCGTTTGTGCAATTTAAAATTATTTTAAATTTTATACAAATCTTATAATTTAGGTACAATTCTATATTGAAAATGTATTGTGTTTGTTTGTCTTATATGCAGAAATAAACAGAATAATTCCGCGGTGAACGCCTTCTAAAAAATCATTGGCTTCGTTGAGCGCGAACATCAACCTACCGTACAACGTATACTACGCAAGTGACTCATGTTGAAATTGGTATGTATCTGCTGCTAGTGCTGCTCTCCGTAGCTCACCGTACGGCGGTTGTCATGGCAACGAGGCAGCCAACGCATGTGTAAACTACGGCCTTTGAGAATGAGTGATGCAAAAGCAAAAGTTGATGCAGCATTCTCTTCGTCATCGCGCATCGCCTGTCTATCGTGTGTAAACAGTATACGATACGTTGCCCAGTATGCACGGTTATAATGGTTCTTTATTAATATTTGTTTTATATCAATAATTTGTAGAAATGTTTCCTATACACGATCCTGTATTATTTTATTGGAAATGCCATTTTCCAGACCGAAAATTGAGGACAAAAAAGATTTTTTAAATTGCGAAAGACTTGTACCTTCTCTCGATGTGGAAAAAAGGGGGAGGTCAAAAGACAAAGTGTATGTTCGGAAGTTTCGGATTGAATGGTATTCGGAGTGTAAGTGATTGTGTGGATGTGTTTATTTAAAAAAACTTTTTTGTATGCCGTGTTTAATTGCGAGTGTAAAATCGGGCGTGTGGAATAAGGAGGGATTTATCAATCCCGCTTAACATCTGTATCTGTACCTATCATTAAGTCCACGAGCCGAACTAATATTTTCTATTTTTTATAAAATCTAAAAGAAAATCCTTCTCGCCAACGTCAGTTTTTCGGTAATATTGCAAATGCAACTAAAATTTCCAGATTCATTTAAAGCCGTTTGACCTTGAAAATTTGAAAATTTTAATTTTTTTTTAATCAATCAATAAATATGCTTCACCTATTCTCAATGTCACGAGCCGCCACTGAAATAAGGTGACCTGAAGAATATTAGACCACCTTATTGCAAGTGGCCTTGGTAATTTTAGGCATAATTGTTCATGATGTTGCCTAACCTGGGATTTGGGGATATTTGCATCCAGTGTTACTAGATCTATTGATTTTTCAGTAGATTGATTTTTTATTCAAAATCTACTGAATTCATTTCAGAAAATTTTTGCGAAAACGAAAACAGACATTTTTCAGTATTTTGTTTTGTCTACGTGCTTATTGCTTAGTAACAAATAGCACAAGGGCGATCTCTACTATATTTTAAAGTTGTATGAACAAAATAAAAGGCTCTATTAATGTTTGTGTTTATTATAAACGTTATAAAATAATGTATTTTGTTTCATTGAAATATTTATTATAGGTAATAAATTTTCATTTGCGTTGTTTAAAAATACATTAGCATTATTTTTATTATTTGACAAAAAAGTCCATCTAATTGTCCTCATTGATAGAAATTAGGCCGTACACGCGAAAAAGGGTAGCGCAATCTAAGAAAGTATATGCCTTAAAATAAAGAGGTAAATTGTTACTTAAACTGTTATAATAGGAAATAGGGTAATAAAAGTATTATGTGTAATAAATATAATAATGATAAACTCGTTAGATTTAAGGACGTCGATCGTAATGCCCCCTAGATCTTGACGTCTACAAACAACGTCAAAATTAACGATTTGAAAATTTATGTTGATTGGTTGATTTTATAAATTCAACAATGTCATTGGTTATTATTAAATAGTGATTTAAAATAATAAATATACTCTAGTCGTAGAAGACTTAAACAATCTATCATCGTGCCTCTAAAATAGATAAATCATTCCTTGGTTGTTTCACTATGGCATACTGTTCAAAAGTGACCCTAACTTTATTTATTATACTTTTTATATTACTTTCGCCCTATACGTACTGGTCACTGGTCCTATTTTTTTTGGTACCTACGATACAGGTCGTTTTTTACCATTTTATGTGGAATCGAAGGCCTTTGCCATTAAGTATAGCAGTTATCATTAGATATAACAGTCCTCTCATTTTTATCTTCCCACAAATATACTTAGAAGTCTGTGTATCTTCCACATTTACTATAATCATGTATATTAGCTTCGACAGTGACTTCGGAATCCGTAATCTGATAAAATCATATTTCCAAATTTTTAAATTAGACCACACTCAAAGACTAGACAAATACCTCAGACCATAATGTGAGTTCAGATCACAGATTTGGAAATAATTGCCAAACGAATACGGCTAAAAGTTATTAAAGTTATCTACTGATTTCTACTGATTTTTTTATTGGCAGCAATGGCAACTACTAATTTGTGATTTTCTAAAACTAAAAATTCATCTGGCAAGTGGCAATCCTAGATTGGTGGCAACACTGTTTACATCGCAAATGTCGGTGAAAGTCGTAGTTTTATTTACAAACAAAAATAAGAAGTAAATAATGTCAGATCCAGATCCCGAAAATTGGGGTGAAGATGATGACAACGATCCAGACTATGTACCCCCTGGTGAAATGGAAAACGGGCACATAACTCAATCGTCAAATTCGAATACGGAAGATTCAGACTCTTCAGGTGATAAATTTTGTTATTTAATTAATTTGCATTATTTTTTTTTGTAACATCTGTTTTAGAAGATGAGAATCCAGCAGGATCCAACAATGGTCAATTTGACACCGATCTGCCTACTACTCATAGGGTAACTATCACTCACAATTAATTTATTATTGTTTTTAACTACTTTAATTTTTTCAGTATTTGGGCAAGTTAAACAATGTCAGCGGCTATACCCTCTATGACGATGGTGAGATTATAGACATTCTGGCGATATACACCACAACTATGGTTTTTCCTGGATTCACCCTCCCCTTGGTAATGAACAATTATGTTGAAACTACTATGATGCAAAATTTTATAGAGAAAAATAACGTTTTTGTACTTTTATGTGCAAAGTGAGTTCCCACAACGTGGTCAGTTTAGTAAATAATGATTATAACTTTTTAGTGCACACTTCAACGGCATTTACAACTTTGGAGTGACGATGGAAATTTTCGAGACTCAAATGAGAAACAACGTCCTTAATATCAAAGCGAGGGGCAGGCAAAGGTGCAAGCTGGTGCCGGGCTGCGAAATAAAAAATTGGGCCGGACGACTGAAGCAGGTCACTATTAAAATCATCGCAGAACCTGAAATTACCTCGCCACTTTGTGATACGCAAATGCTTTCGTTGAAACGAAAGAGACTGTTTACTTCTACGGAGTTTTGTGATATTTTAAAGCATTATAAGTACAGAAGGTTGATAATTTTTGTATTCCTCTTGCTTTTGTTGTAATTTCATTTGCTTTCAGGTACCACCTAGCACAATACCCTCTGCCTTCGTGGGTATACGACAAATATGAGATAAGTTACTATTCGAAGTTGTTGTTAAATGGTTTATCACATTATGTAGGGGGTAAGTAAGTGAATTTTAAGTAATATATCCTTAAGTTAATTTTCTTGTTTTGAAAACTTTTTAGAATATATTCCAAGGGACCCCGTAATGTTAAGTTACTGGTTCGTCCAGAACTATCAGTTGAACCATGTAGAGCGGTTGCAAATTTTAAAGTTAAATTCTGCTTTAGAAAGGCTAAGATTAGAATATAGGTTTTTAAAACAGGCAAGTATATTTTGTTAATGATCACTGAATGTTACTTTTTTTTATGGTACTTTTAGGAGAGAAAAATGTGTTGCAACAGTTGTGGAATGGAAATAACGGACCCTAGTAAGGTATTTGCTATGTCAAAGGATGGAATTCAAAGCAACTATGTAAATCCTGGTGAGTTATATTTACAGTACAATCTCCTAATAGCATACACCCTGTGCCACTCTATAATCATGATACACAATACTACTGACTGCCATAAAAACATGTGCCATACACTCGACCAAGCAAAGCGTTAAACTCACACACTCACAAATGACGATGAAATGCAGAACCAACATCCCTCGGCAAAAACCCGGGATTGTTCACCATCATGCCATTCCGTCAGGACAGGCATAAGGGTGACGCTAGATACGTATCGAATAAATTGATTGATGCGAAGCTTCAAGTTAGAGGCAGACATGTACATGTTATTGTACAATGACCTGAATAAAGGGATTACCATTAGTAAAAAAAAGCATCTATTAAAAATTTAAACTATTTGAAATGTTGAGCGGTCATTTTCATTTTCAAAATGGCATTTACCTATCGCCGGAGACAATTAACCGTGGAACAGTTAGGAGAACTGTTAATTCCTGTTAACTGTTAACTTTTGCTGGTACTTATTATTACGTACATACTATATTTTATGGTAAATTCCATGTGAAGCGCTTCTTTTTGTTTCATAGAATTATGCAAATACTTATAATATAAAGAGTGCAGTTATAAAAAGGCAAAGGTTGTGTCACTTTTTGTTTGAATCAAATTACATTTCCGATCACATGCATAAAGATTATCTATCAGTTGAAATTAAACTTAAACTGACTGACACATTAATTCTCTCAACTAGAACATACTGCGATATTCTGTACTGGCCAGCACTTACTGTTAAAGACAAAAACAGCCTTCAGAAATTACAAAATGCTTGTCTAAAATTCTGTTATGGTGTTCGAAAGTATGATCATGTTACACCACTTTTTGATTATTCTAATTGGTTCAAATTGGATGAGAGATTAATTGTACATTTGGCTACATTAATATACAAGGTTATCACTTGGGAACAACCTTACTATTTGCGTGATGAACTAATTCATGGTGCAAGCACGCATCATAGAATTACTCGTCACTGTAACAAATTTGTCATGCCATGACACTGTTCTGCAATAATTCAACGCTCATTTAGTTACAATGCTGTAAAACTTTACAATTACCTGTAAATATTACTGTGACTAGTTTTAAAACAGCAATTAAGAAATACATTGTTACCCTTAAAACATAGTAGTGTTTATTTACTCTGTGTATATATATTTATGTATTTTTTTTTTTTGTAAAACGGGCGGTTAGAATGAGTAGCTCTGCTAGATCTCGCCGCCATTTATATGATTATGTTCAATAATTTGTTTTTATATGAAAATAAAGGCATATTATTATTATTATTATTATTATTATCTCTAGTATTATGTGAGGCCTCATATCGGAAGCAGTAATGGTTAAATCTATTTTACAGGTGGGCATGTCTACGAAACCGTAACTGTGATGTCTGCAGAAAATTTCCAGTTAGTAGGAAACCCCTCAAAGCAGTTCTCATGGTTTCCTGGGTAATATTTCCATACCAATTCGTCTTCATAAAAAAATATATTATCCTTTTTTTCTTTAGGTACGCTTGGACGATTATGCAGTGCAATTTCTGCAATAACCACTTGGGCTGGAGATTTACAAGTACAATACTAAGACCCAATTGTTTTTATGGGTTAGCGAAGAGCGGATTTAAAGTGGTGATCCATTTGAAGGCGCCCTCTGAGGAGGAACAAATGGAGATCTTCCAGGGCGGGCGCATGACGTATTCTAGAGATTATATACCTTAAATACGGTAGGTGTGTATGTTTTCAGTAAAAGTCCCGAAAATTTCCTCGATTTTTCTCGGATTCGGAGGTGAATGTTTTTTTTTTGAGATTAAGTTTTCTTTCAGATGTTCTATGTCGTTCCTGTGTTGAATTAAGTCAAGACTAACAATTTTTGTAAGAGGTAAACATGTATGTATTATTTATTGCTGCTACTTATATTTTTACAAGTTCTTTTCTATTTAAGTAAATGTGTAAAAAAACTGTTTTAATTTATGAAACGAGTAATTGCTTCTTGTAAATATACACTGTATAGGTAATATTAACAGCATTTGTGTTCTTTTCTGTTCTAAAGTGACTGCAATAAAACATAGTCCGAAAAAAATTATTTTAATTTTTTGCAATTATTTAAAACCTCAAACTCGTCTTGTCCACGAGATGCGCAGATCAAGAAAAGAGGTGAAAAGAGGTCACACAATAAGTGTGACAGAGACGGGAGACCTTAATAGTAGGGCGGATACCTCAAACAGAGAATGAGCTCCAGTGCTTGTTTGGTAACGTCAGTACACAAAAAACCCACAGACTACGTGAACTTGGTCAGGCTGTACTAACCTGTAGCCTTGCACTATCAAAGCATGAAGTAAACTTTTTAATTAATGGTAATGGGAAAAACAAATAATCTGTAGACTACATACTTTGTACATAATTGAATTGGGAGATCATTGCAGACTCGTTTTTGTGCTCCATACTTCACAATTTATTTATAATCGTTCCCATCATTCTATATAGTCCAACCAAATTACAATTGTAGAAAAAAAAATTGGACTTTTATAAGTGGAAATGGTAAAGGGGCTTATAATAAACGTAAAAAAAATAAATGCGTGAGCAGGGGTGGCAGAGGGTTGATTTGGGGATGGAATAGTTGTTAAAAATTGTATCATTCGGATTTCTGGCGAAAGTTGACGTCAAACAAAAAAGTATTCAATACAAAAGTTGTAGATCATGCAAAAATCTACATCTACTTTTGTAGAGGTCACTTTTTAACATAACCTCGAAATTCCCGAGAAAAATGCGAAAAACAGGTCTTTTTCTTATTTTTCGGTTTTTATTTCTGATTTCCGCAAAAATAATCTAATTTTGACGAAACCTGGTTAAAGTATACCTTTCTGTGTCTTCAATAACCACACATTTTTTTAGTTGAAAAAACTCAATAAGTTTCCAATATATTCATTTATTCCAGCCTGAAACACTTTTTTTTTTTCAAAGAAAAATTCTACTTAGAAAAATCATCGTACAGAGTTCTGCTCGTGATCATTTTTTTGTTTTGACATATACTTTTTGTTGAAATAAAACAATCTGTGTAATCACAGTTCAAAAACATGGTCAAAAATGAAAAAAAAAATAAGAAATGACTTGCAACAATGAATTTTTCAGTAATTGTTGATAATTTGTTTAAATTTAAAAAAAAATCAAATTCAATAATTCAAAAATACAAAAAACTGTGTCATTGTTTGACCCAAAACTTTATTTTTTGTACAGTATTGCTAAACATCTAAGTCGAATTACAAATGCACAAATGATTTCAAATTTCAGCAATACAAAGTATTAACTGCAAAGTTTACTTTGAAATTAGAAAAATGACCAACTGGAGCAGTTACAGAACACTCCTATAGAGCATACCTTAAGCTTCAGAAGTGGCTTGGGAACAAAATAACTACATCCAAATTACTTATACCTCGCTTTACAGAAGTTTCAGTCGTGCCTGAAGATTTATTAAAAACAATCTCTTGCAGCTGCGAAGATTTTTAGCTTGTTTTAGCTATCATTTAAAATTTTTCCTGAGTACGGCTCTGAACGCTTTCAAAATATCTATTGGTGGAAGTCATAACAGTATAAAAGTCAATACCGCACAAAATATTCAACAATAATTGTTGCTACTACTATCAGCAATAAATTCGTATTATTTTTTTTATGTACAAGTTTTTAAATTATTGATTAAAAAAAATTGTTGGATATTTTGTGCTGTATCGACTTTTATACTGTTACGATTTCCTCCAATAGATATTTTGAAAGCATTCAGAGCCGTACTCAGGAAAAATTTTAAATAATAGCTAAATACCTTTTTACGTGATTACAATAGCAATATCATCTAATTCAGAATTAAATATGACTAGATTTTGTCATAAAAATAGCAGGACATATTTAAAAAAATTAACGTGAAGATGGTCACTCCAAGACGAAACGTCGGATTGCAAAAATGTTGACGCCATTGGATAGAGCGAAAAAAGCGGCAATGTAAATATGCAATTTATTTTAAAATCCGTTTTCAAATAAAGCCAGGAAAAAAATAGTACGATTTTGCAAAATTTCGGGTTTTTCCAGATATCTCCGGAACTACCCGGAATTTTAAAACTAAACAGCATATTGTTAGGTATAAAAAACCACTACTTTTTTCTAATTTGAGCCACTCCGTATCTCTTACCATTTCCTAGATCCTAATGCTACACCATCCTTATCTTGGACACACTGTAAGAATTCATCAAAATTTAAAAAAATAAGTACACTAATCGGAATACGGAAAAAAATTATTATTTATTTTATTTATTCACTATTCGACTTCGATGTTTATAGCAATACTGTGCAAAAATAAAGTTTTGTGTCAAACAATGAGTTTTTTTTAATTTTTTTCCGTAGAATTGAATGGTGTAATCAGTTCTTGATTTTTTTTATCAACAATTACTGAAAAATTCCTTGTTGCAAGTCATTTTTTTTTTGCATATTTGTGCATGTTTTTGAACTGTGATTACAGATTTTTTTATTTTACCAAAAAGTTTGTCAAAACGAAAACAATGACCACCGGCAGAGCTCTGTACGATGATTTTTCTAAGTAGAATTTTTCTTTAAAATAAAAGTGTTTCAGACGGGAAAAAATGAATATCTCGGAAACTTCTTAATTTTTTTTATCTAAAAAAATTTGTGATTATTTAAGACACAGAAAGGTAACTTTCACCAAACTTGTCAAAATTAAATTATTTTTGCGGAAATGAGAAATAAAAAATGAAAATTAAAAAAACGTTTTTCACAATTTTCTCGGAAATTTGAAGGTTGTCTTAAAGTGACCTCTACAAAAGTTGTAGATTTTTGCATGAATCCTTTGTTTGACGTTACCTTTCGCCAGAAATCCCAATGATATCATTTTTCACAACTTTTCAACCCCCTAAATCGACCCTTCGTCACCCCTGCTCACGCATTTTTTTTTTTCGTTTATTATAAGCCCCTGTACCATTTCCACTTCTAAAAGTCAAGCAATTTTCTTTTTTTCCCCTCTAAATGAATTATTTCGATTGGTCTAATAAAAAATGACCCGATTTGAAGAGGATTTAGGTTTTGCAGGGAACAGATAAAATGTACGATATGAAAAGAATGATTTATTCTGTACACAATATACAATTACAGTGATTTAATAGCATTAATCGAAATTATACATTTAAAATATATAACAAAAATAAATATTTGTCAGTGGGATTGCGAGATTTTCAGGCAGAGGATTAAATAAATTAATATATATATTTACAGTAAACACGATAAATGTAACAAACAACCTTAGGAATGAACTTAGGCGTATATAAATTATATGGGGCTAGAAATTAATAATTAAAATTAAAATCGCTCACGATTAAAAGTGAGATCGGTTGTACGTCCTTTTTAATTGTAAATGATTACAGAAATGAAGTTTAATTGTTCGAATTAAGTGCAGCAAAAAGATGTGTTTGAACTAACATCGACTATTAAGGTGTATAATCAATCACTAGAGAATTTTAGTGAACAAGTCAAAATTTCCGAGGCTAAAATTAAATTTTATTAAAATCACATTACCACGATTAATTTCGAACACACTGGAGTTTTAAATTTCTTAAGATGTCGACATTAGAAGAAAACTAATAACGGAAATCAATCGATTTGTACTGCTGTAACATCTTATTTAGAAATTATCTTTTCAATACAATGAGGCACACTCGACAATCCCAAAAGTTCAGTCTTATATAGATAGACGCCAACCAAACAATAAAAATATATGAATTAAACATTTATTTACAACAATTAAATTACATTATTTTACAACGCCTTGTAAAAGATAATGACAAACCACCCTGCACATAAAGAGGAAAAAAAGCGGATCCAGAATTGGCACAACTCGACTCATATATTTACAAGGGAGAAACTTACTTCTCGAAACTAACCTAAAGGCACCTCCTACGGAGGCGAGTGAGTTCTATTTGCTCGGTTATTTCTACTCCTAAAATTCCTGTTACCGGGATTGTTCCTGTTAAAATTCCTCCCCCGCCTCCTGTCTCTATTAAACCCCCTGTTATCCCTGTTGCCGGGATTGTTGGGCGGGTAGAAATCTTCGTTGAAATTGTTAAAGTTGCCGGGACCGTCCGGCGGGAAGCCCCCGAAGGGCATCGGGGCGTTTCCTAGCAATCCTCCGTTCCTCGGGTCGAAGTTGATGGGAAAATCCGGGGGTAAGTTTGGTATGCCGGGCGCTGCGCCCAGCAGACCGGGCTGTGAAACGCTCTGCGCCATTTGATTCATAATGTTCGGATTCTGGCTCAACATGGGATTGACGGGTAAATTAGCTTGTTGTCCTGGCGGCAAGATAGGGTTCAACTTTGAGACGTTGGCTAATATCGACAGGGCAGCGCCCAAATTCGAATTCGGCTGCAGGCTCGTTCCTGGTATAATATTAAGGTTGGACAGCAAACTGTTCAGTACCGGGTCATGGGAGTTATTGGGATCGCTTCGCTGACTCAACTCCTGGTTGAGTAAAAGCTTCTGGTTGCTCGTCAAGCTCTGGTAAAACGCCGAGCTTTGCAACATGCTCAGCTGTTGGTTAAACGTCATCGCGCCCGGCTGAGGTTCGTTTTTATTACTATCCTCCATTTTCCTAAGCCTCGGATCTACCCTTACGGTCGTCGAACTAGACTTGGGACTTGCCTTTGGGCTAAGTGGAGTATCCCGTTCCTCGACGCTTAACCTAAATATTTTACGTAATCGAGGATCGCCGGTTTTCTCGGCATCGCTTATGCTTAACTTTAAACCTGTGTAATCGGGTCGCGGTATCTCTACCGTGACCACCTTCCAGGGTATGGGGAGATGGGAGTTTATGCTCGCGTCTATTTCCGTGGCAGGAGTGTAGTTTTGCATGCCCTTGAAGGGTAACTGAAGGTTGCGAAGGTCCACATCGGAACGTATAGAACCTAGAGGGTAATAAGGCGGATATAGAAACATTGAAATGTTAGATTTTAATTTTCTAATGTAAGATTACAGATTAATAGAATGTAAGGTTTGACAATTCATTTGATTTTATTTGACAACTGCTATCCTTGATAGATTACCACTGATTTAGTCACAATTTAAAGTTACTAAAGAATATATCCATCACTATGCTTTTTGATCATTTTTTCCAAACAAATAATAATAACCAAGTCTCTATTGTAATACATATTTGAAGCCAGTATTAAAGGTGCTTCCTTCAGTAGAAGCTTATACAGGGTGGCCCAGAAATAATTGCCAAATTTTAAATTTCAAACATTTAATAACTGAATAATCTAAAGCTTATCAAATAAGAGGAATGTTATGTCATGCTATCTGATTATTTTCAGAGACGCCGCAGTAAAACGAATAAACAGGTGCAAAAAACGATCAAACCATCATGGTTTTAGGTACTGAAATTTACGAAAATACAAACTTTTTTATATATAACTCTACATGTAAATATTCTTATAACATTTACTTGCTTAGTCCTACATATAAAATTGTTTACTTTTATTTATAAGTACGTGATAATAATTAATAAAATGTGGGGTTAGGATAACAGCAAACCCATGTTTTACAAACGCTTTTTTTTAGTTATTATGTTATTTGAGTAAATTTAAATAGTAACAATGAATAAATAGAACACCAAGGATTTTATTTTTGTGCTTACTTTTGTTCTACACATTTTACTTTTCAAGATTTCAGTACCTAAAAACGCCAGAAATTTGACTATTTCTCAGCCAGGGATATGGCCACCTTAACTTTAGTCTAATATTTTTTTTCAAAAATCTAAGTAAGATGATATATTTGTTTTGCTGCCCACCGCTAGAGCATAAATCAAAACGCTTAGTTGATTATACATATCCACAAAGTAAGAGTACTCGATTTTAAAAAAATCGAAACGGCAGTAAACAAAAAAAAATGTACATATTCAGAAAGGTACATCAAACACTACTTTTCGACAAAGTCGCCTTCAACCTCAACGCACTTTGAGAGACAAGGGATGAGCTTTCTGGCACCTTCATCAAAAAATCTCCCGCTGCCTCTCGGACCGATTGTTCGCATTGCTTTACGGCACTGGTGGACGTCATCGTCAGTAGAAAACCTATTTTCACTCATAAAAACCCTGAAAAGATGAACATCAGAAGGGTTCAGGTCAGGACTGTGAGTGGGGTGGTTGATGTTCCAACCGAATGAATCCAAGGGTTACTTTGTGGCGTTGGCTGTGTGGGGACATGCATTGTCATGCAACAAGCCCACTCCCTTCATTAACATTCCACTTCTTTTGTTCTGTATCACCTTTCGCAGTGTTTTCAAGGTTTCACAATCCCACGCAGCATTAAATGTTTCCCCCTGGGGCAAAAAGTCAATAAGGAGAATCCCTTTACAGTCCCCACAACACAATTGCCATGACTTTTCAGGCAGAAACAATGGTTTTGAATTTTTTCGCTGATGGTGAAGACGGATGTCGCCACTGCATTGATTGTTTTTTCGTCTCAGGGGTGTAGTGAGCCACCCACGTTTTGTCAGCAGTTATAGTACAGTCAAGGAATTGTTCACCTTCCACTTCGAAGCATGCGAGAAATTCCCGTGAATATGCGGCTTTGTGTTGATCCATGAGCATTTTGGCACCCATCTCGCACACAATGTTCGATAACCAATTATTTCATACAGAAGAGATCTGGAGATTTGTGGAAACACTGCGTTCATCTCGTCCAAAGTCAATCGACGGTCGCCACAAAGCAGTTTTTCGATCTTGTTCACCATCTCATCAGTCACGATTGAGAGAAGCCCACTCCTTTGTTCATCATGAACATTTGTTCTGCCAGCTTTATACTCATGAAACCACTTGTACATATTAGTATGATTTATCATACCATCCCCATAAACATTGCGTTAAAAATTTGAAACGGGGCCTTTCCCTTTGCAAGAAGAAATCGGGTTACGCTCCTCGTCTCGCAGCTGGCGCGATTCAGAATAGCAGAACTCATTTCAACATGCCACTACAACAACAGTTCTCAACTAACAGACAAATAAGCGCACATTCTGCTAGCAATATCCTGGCCTTGAATGCAGTGTTGCCAACTTTGTCGAAAACAAAAAACAACAGAGCATCAGAGTCTCAGTACTCTTACTTTGTGTATATGCCTCGTACAGTAAAGATAATGATACGGAATTAATTTAGTTACTATTGAAAAATAATAAGGTAGATTTACACTTATTTTACAAAATTAAGTTACAACAAATGCCGAAATGTCCTCCGTTATTGATAAGATGTAATTGTACATAACTTTGAAAATTTTCTTTAACTCTTACTGAGATTTCTGGATTGTTGAGATTGCTCTGGCGGCATTATTTATTCTCAAAGTTCTTCAACCGCATTAACTGGAGTAGAATATACCAGATGTTTCAAACAACCCCATAAATAAAGATTTTTATTAATAACTTGATTTTTTTTTCTGTTGAAATCTTATAGGCATGTCGACACATTTTTATATAATTGTTGCGCAAATAGATGAAGGAGGGGTTTTAGTACTCGTCGTTCACACCAACATTTTTTATTTATTTTTTAGATTGATGCAAAATTTTCACTTAGGACTTGGTTTACAAATACTCGATCATCTCGAAAAAGCTATAGAAAGATGTCCATAAATCGTATCTACTCTGTTAACATTTCTGCATAATTTTGGACATCTGAGATAGCATTGGGCTCAAAATTTCCAAAAATTTACTACTTTGCATTCGGAAGTATATTTTCCAAGTAGATGTTGAAGAGCAGTTTCAAGGTAATTTAATAGGTGGCGATGTTTAATATATGTTAGTTGCTTATTAATTTACCTTTTTGTTTCTACATCTGGTATAAATTTTTAATTTAATAATGATACTCTTAAAAAGTTTATTTCGCGTAGTGCAAAACAAATTTTCGTTTCCTAGCGCCTACCTTCGAGCATATACTACTGGAGGCAGCGGAGGTCGTAGAGAGAAAGGGAGGTATAGGGGGGTATATACTATCTCTCTTTAGCAGCATGTGATTGGTTCTGCCATGAACAGCTGCTTCTATCGTTGACAAGGGGAGAGGAACGCAGCCAATTGCGTGCTGCTAGAGAGAGATAGCAAACACCCTCCTATACCTCTCTCTCTCTCTCTACAACCTCTCTCTCTCTCTACAACCTCTTCTACACTCTCGGCCACTGGGATGCTGCCTCCAGTGCTCTAATGCGCCTACAGATTAGGTCATTGTGTCAGTAGGTACAAAACAATGCTTTGTACCTGTAGGTATCGAATAACAATGACATATTTTGTAGGTTCTATTTCACCCACACTCAAAATATGTCAGTAGATACACATCTAAATAGATTGAGAAGTGTCAAAGGGTACTATGACCCACCTTTCAACTGTCCGCTCAACAATTTTTTTTAACCAAAATTATACAAAAGATTTGTTACAACAGTTATTAATAAAATAATTTTTTGATTGCAATGTTTTTCACTATATTTCTTCAAAAAGAATATGTCGTTAAATGTCAAATTCACCTGGTTTTTTTTACACCCTGTATAACTAAAAAATTTTTAATGCGCATTTTCTTAGAAACAGTCGCAAAACGTCTTTTTTCATAAATTCCCAGAATAGCAATAAATAAAAATCAAGTAAATTTCAAAAAATACACCTTTTTTAATAAAATAAACTGCATTGTACTTACTCCTGAAATCAGTATCGATTTCTTCAGAGTTCCTATCGATGCTGCCCTGCTCGTATATACTCAACTTCTCCGGTTTGTTCTGGACTTCTATCGAACCTTGCCTAGACCTTTGGCGAGGATCTGCGGTCAATCTAGGGTCCGCCCTTGGAACCTCCTGTTTCTCAGTTGACGTTCGTGGATCCTTAACAAAAAGAATTTGTTATAAAATAAAGTACCTGGCTTTTTAATCTCGTACACACCTGTCTGGCCGTCCTCGGATCGGTCAACGTCGAAGTAGAGGCGGTCGATTGCGGCGGAGTCGAACTCCCTTCCGGTTTAGGCAGGAAGGGGAACTGATTCTGCGACTGGCTCATGGTCGTTAAGAGTTTCGTCACCTCCGCTGAGATGTCAATTTTCGAGAGGTCTCCCAACTGGCCGACCACGTCGAGAGGTTTTATTTGCGGTGGGGACATTATCACTTCACTGAAAACGACGAATAGTTGATATAACTAGGAAGGGAGGCTTTAAATTCACTGGAATTTACAAAAAAATTAAAATAGTGTGCTCTTTTTGGGAGAGCAAAACTACGCCTGGTAACATATTTTATAGAAATTGGAACACTTTTTGTCAACAGCCAATTAAAGCTGAACCACCTACGTAATCAATTAAAAACATAAAAGGGTTCAATAGAACACTCAGTATTTAAAAATACTCTTAACAATTAAAATATTCTTTTCCCATTTGTTGCCCTTTGAAAAAAAAATATGTAGCTGCTTCACCAAATTTTTTTTACAACCACAGATTTTATTTTTACAACCGCTGACGCAGCTACATGATATTTTTTTTCAAAGGTAATTATGCATTTGAGGCTGTCGAAAACGTCATATTTTGTTTTATCTCGTCGAGCTACCTCAAATTAAGTACAAAAGAATTTTTGTACGTGGTCCAGAAGTCGAGATAATGAAGATTTTGAAATTAAGAGCGCTTTTGAACGCGCGAATTCAGTTTTTGGAGCGGCCGAGTAGCGTTACCCCCACTCCGCTGACCGCTACAGTTAGCTCGCGCTGTGCTCGAATGCTTCGGTTTGACGCACAATTAAAAATGCAGAAGTGGCTAAAATGAACCATCGTATTTTTTCATTGAAAATATAAGTCTTCAACTTCAATCTCTGTAAGAATGGTCGCTGTAGCACTTCAAAAGCGGCCAGTAATTTAAAAAAAAAAATTGTCTTGGCTCCAGAAGGTCATAGAGCAACGTTCTTTTTTTTAAATTCGCGTAAAAATGCCAGCAATCGGTTCCTGTAATAGACGTTATCGAGAAATGAATATCGAAAAAGATATTCAAGAAAAACGCGACCCAAAAAATTTTTTTTTTTTCAAGATCATCTTTGGACTATTATTACTATAATAATAATAATAATTATTATTATTATTATTATTATTAAAATTGAATGAACATTTTACCTTGCTTCCGTCCCCTCTGACCCTGCCGCTTCCTTCTCCTTAACCTCATCATTGTCCACCTTGATTGTCAGCCTGTTATCGTCCTCATCGTCATCGTCCGAGTACCAATTGATGTTCTCATCGATTTCAAAGCCTTCCTTTGTGTCCTGTTCGACAGCGGTCTCCTTCTGTTGGGCCTGTATCCTAAGGTACAGGTCCCGTTGCGTTTTGGGCAAGTCCACGGGCAAATTGGGCATTTCGGGTTTGTTACAGTCGTCCCCGGTGTCTATCTGGAGCATCGGCTCGTCTTCGTTGTCGTCCTCGATTTTGGATTCCGGCTTGTCGTCGAAGATCTTGGGCATTACCCTGATGTCGACATCCTTACCCAGTAGAAGAGGTTGATGGCGAATATCCACGTCCTTCGACGCGGTGTAGGGTAAAATGTTCGATGTACGAATGTCTAAGTCTTGTTTCAGAGAATCGATCACCAGTCCCGCCTCGCGTTTATATTTCTCCAGATCCAATTCGCCGGACTTGCTTTCGGAGGATATGCTCGCTGGAACGTTTGGTATCGGTCCTAAATTCGGGGGCAACGTCCTCATGTCGATGTCCCCGTTACTGAAAGAAAAGCAAAGTTTCAGTTCATAGCTGTAATTTTCTAACATTAACGCTGTAAACTTGTAGATACTGAAGTATTCTTTACCTGTTTCTTATCCTCATGTCCTGGTCTTGTCCGTATTGGAAGGGTTTGAGAGGGAAATTTAGATCTTTTGATGGCAACGGGTCGGGATCTTGCCACCTCGACGGTCGATTCCTACCCGATTTTTCATTTTTACCCCTTACATCTGCAAATCACACAAATCTTTAGAAGGATTTCACTTAAGTAGGTTCCAGCATATTACAATAATTAAACTTCATTTTGACAACCTGTCGCGGTAAAAAAGAGATGTCTTAGTAACCATAGTTTTAACTAATCAAAAGATAAATAAAAAAGGTTTAATGGAAACTAGAATACATACAAGGTGTACCGATTTATAAGAACTAAGACTATTAACGCAATAAGAAAATACAGGGGTCAAATGTATGTTTTTAAATGAATTCTAAAGGCTGCTGTTAGAACAGAATTCAGTTTTTTTAGCAAAAAAAAAAAATAACGGGCAGGAATTCTGGAAAAGTTCAAATAATTTCAATTTTTTTTTATACATTTATGATTTGCAATTAATTTATAATAAAACTGAGAAAAAAACTGCTACTCTTAATCCATTACGCAACAGATTCAATTAATTTGATTGTTATTCATTTAATTTTGTGCTGAATTAATGCAGAAAAAATAGTAATTTTGCAAGAAAAATTTATACGAGGCTTGCCTTTTATATTTTGGAAATAGAGAGCAAAAAAAAATTTAGTCATTGTATAAGGAAAGGGTCGGCAACTGGCGGACCGCGGTCCAGATCCGGACCGCGGAAGGTAAAATACTGCACCGCCAAAAATTTTTTGAAAGTATAAATTACTCAAATAAATTATTTAAAAAATGTTTTTTACGTTTAAGTGCCAATCTTATCATTTTTCTAGTATTTTACAATTGTGTGAGTGTGTGAGTCCTTAATAGTTAGTAAGCAGATTAAATTTGAGTCCAAATTAAAATAAAAAAAATAATATGAATTATTTTTTGGACCTCGTTAAAAATTTTCAAAAGTATCCGGACCCCACCCAAAATTACTTGCCGACCCCTGGGATAAGGCTTCATTGTTTTTCAAAATATTCTCGATGAAGGTCGACATACTTTTGCATGCGCCTCAATCAATTTTCGAAGCACTTTTCCCATTCCGATTAAGCTTCTTCCAAAACATGCATTTTGAACGCATCAACCGCTTCGTCAGGCGCCAAAAAACATTGATCTCACATTTATTTTTGATGTACTGGAATAAAAAAGTCATCGGCTGTCAAATCAAGGCTGTATGATGATTCATCAATTGGACTTTTGACATGACATGCGAGAGCTCACATTGTCCTGGTGGAGAATGATCCGTCTTCGGCGGACGGTTTCCCTAATTTTTCCGATGACAAATACATAAATGGTTATGCACCATTTAGAAATGACCGTCCAACATGTTTTTTTTTTAAAAAACAATTTTTGTTGGATTTGGCCCATATAGTCAACTGCTGTTTACTTTTGGACTTATAAATCCATGAATCGTCACCTGTTACAATGTCATAGACGTGTTTTGAAGCACCGCGATCATATTTCTTGAGCATTTCTTTTGACCAATCGACACAACCAGCCGATTATGGATGACCTTCACGAAATTCGTCAGTGAGCGAACCACAGCCATGAATGGATTCTGTATACCACCTATATACAGTGGTCTTTGATGGTGCTTCATTGCCAAAAGTTGAATTAAATTCATCAATGCGAAATAATCCCCGTCGAAAGTTGTAAAAAATAATCGCACTGAAATGTTCACGACTTAATTCCATTTTTTTGGATGAATTTTTCAAGTCACTGTAAATAATACAACTAATGCGCTATTTCGCTGTACGTCAATACGTTCTGGATAAGTACACTGACAAAAAGCAGCAATTTACAGTAGGGACATCGGCAGCACCAGGATCGTCCATTCCCGAAATATAAAAGGCAACTTTTTCTTTTACAATTTCCTTAATTAAAAAAATCACAATTGGCCAAGTCAATAGCACAACTAGAAAATAGAAGTTTGGTAGGCCAAAATGTAGTAAGTCTTAAAAAAAAATCTATAACTAAAAAATAAAATTTTTATGTTAAGCTGGGAAATTGGAAATTTTTCTATTATTTTCACAATGGTTTGAAAACTGGCTGCGTCCCAGTAAAACGTAATTGAACGTCATATTTCTTACTTACGTTAATGATCTGTACACCCGTAAATCGGGACACCATGTAGAAATAAACACCTTTTAAATAATGAATTATTTTTACGACTTCTAAATAAATAAAAAAAAAGCAAAAAATACATTTAAAATAAATGTACGACTTCAATGTCGCACGGCAACTAAACTATAATAAAATAAAAAGAAATAAAGAAAACTAACCATCGGCTCCTTGTAATAACTCAGGGGGTACGGGTACATTAATATCAAACAATGAAGGTATCCCACCTTTAGGTTCCTCTTTAACGTCCATCCCCTGCTGCTCTTGCAGCTTGATCTGCGTAATGTTGATCAAGTTCAGCGCCTCCTCCCTGCTCATTCTGGGAAATCCGCCCAAAATATCGCGGGGCGCCGTTTCGAGGTGTTTAAACAAGATCTGTTTCAGACCTAGAAGGGAACAAGAATGTGAAAAACTCGTACCGTTCGCCATAAAAAAAGAAATACTTATATTGTGTCAAACTTCGGAGTAAAAGGACCGTGGACTAGGGAGGGGACATTAGAACTACAAGACGAACGAACTACACTGGTGCTTACCTTCAGAGAGGGGTTTGCCGTGGGCAAATTTGCAATTGTCTCCTTGTATGCAATTTAAACCTGTATGGTAAAATTTACAAGGAAATTCAGAATGCATATATGAACATTTGTCACCTTTTGCGCAACAGTCCATCAGGTAGAACTTGCAGAGTTCTAGTTTCATGGGGGGCACTGCTTCGTGAGAGTAGGGACAATCATTCTATATAAAAAAAAAATAAGCTTATTGCAGACGCGCAAAAATTTTGGGTGTTAAATATACCTTTTGACATTTTCCTTGCAAGTAGAAAACGCAAACTCCCTGCGAATCCTTCAAAGGTTGCTGCTCGTTCCTTCTGTCCCTATTCTTGCGCTCCCTACCGTGTTCTCTGTCTCTGTTCCTCTTTGCTTTCTTTCCTTCTCTCCGTCTAATCCGTTCGTCGCTTCTGCTGCGATCCGAAGAATACTCCGAGTCGTAACTCTCTTCCGATTGCACCGAGGGACTACCTTCCCTCCTTTCTTCAGGCTTCTTCTCCGGACTTCCCCCACGTATGTTCAGCATTTCGTTTTCGTCTATTTCAGACTTGGGAGACTCTATCCTCCTCTGTTTATTCTGCAAGAAAAGTGTATGTAGTTTTGTAAATAAATGTTTATTTGTTGTTTTCCTTACTTTTCTATCCTTGTCTCCCTTCTTCCTTTTCTTCCCCCTTTTTTCTTCTATTTTGTCTTCCTCGCCACTGGCCGCAGCAGCCTCTTTTTCTTTTTTATTCAGAATTGTGGCGAGGGTTTTTTCGATGTTTTTGGCGAAATCATCATCTGAAACAATTTTTTTGTTGTGTATTGAGCTGTAAAAATTTCAGTCGAATGGGAACCGACGAAATCGATGGAAAAAATCATGGACATAGGGACATACATAATAAAATTCATTAACAACTACCACATATGGTCAATTTATCTGAAATATAAATATGATTAGAACTATAATACGCAATGTAATTGAATAAGCACATTTTTTTATGTTTTTCACAACTATTTGCTTTTTAGTCTTAAAAAATAATAAGTTACTGAAATTACTCTTAGAATTAATAAAAATCTGAAAGACGGTGTCCAATTTCAGTCTTGACAACAATCATCTAAATTCTTATTGAAATAGTTAAAAAAAGAACAGTAAATTTTGAACAAATTGTTGACACTTTTCCGAAAGTTATACAGGGTGTCCCGAAAAAAAATGGATCAAAATTCAGGAGTTTCTTTGTATGAAAATAAACTGATTTACATCAAATTACCTTAATTTCGTCACTTTTTGGCCGAATATAAATATAGCTTAGTTTCCACTTAAAACATAAGGGTCATTAAGAAAACCTTAGCCTTGTTTTTATTTGCCATACTTACTGTTCAGAAATCTTGAGATGAGTAAATGTTTTTCCAAACACCACTTTACTTTCTATAAAAAAGGGTGTACTTGGTTTATGATGTCAAAATTGATCATTCGAGAAACATTTTTTTCAATTTTCTACTGCAGCCGTCAGACAAACAGACAAAAAGATTTGGCAAGAGACAGTGCAGTTATTCTTAGCGACCTCTATGTTTTATTTAGAAAATAAACCTATGTTTATTGTTGGCCACCTCAAAAAAAACAACTTTCAAATTTCATTCAAATATCTTAAAAAGTGACTAAGTTACCTTAAAAAAATTTATCAATATAACTTGATCTAAATCGGTTTATACTCATTTAAAGAAGCTATATTAAAAGAATTACCCATTTATTTCCGAACACCCTGTATAAAAAAACATGTTTATGTTAAGAAAATAACCCATACATCAATACGATATTGCAAATATTTAATATCTAAATTAGAAACCTACATGTATGCCCATAATTTTCTGAGACAGAAAATGACATAGATTCCATACCAAGAGGATCCATCACGGTGTCTTTATTTCTATTGAATTTCTCCCACTTTTTCCTTTGCATCTCCTCTCGTTTCCGCAAATGCAATATACTCTTTTCCGCCTCAGTCATATGCTTCCTTCCTTTCTCCTCATGTCGCCTTCTCTCCGACCTATCTCTAGGTCTATCTCTTTCAATCTTTTCGATTACATTGACTTTATTATCGACGATTTTAACCGGAACCGGAGCTGGGATAGCTAAGTCAGCTTTGGGAGCTTCTTGCGGTTCTGCAGGGGCCTCTTCATCATCATCCTCAATTTCTCCATCTTCGAGATCCTCTTCAGTTTTGGAGGGCTCTTCAGGTGTATTGCTGTTCGGTAGGATATTATTTTGTTAATAACAATTCTTAATTTCCCATTTAAAATGTTTTTTTTTTTAATATGTATATCAATTTTTGTAGATCCCAGTTTAATGAATATTTTCTCTTTTTCATTATTCAAATTTAAATGTAAATGTTTTGTTAATTATTACATTGACATACATTCATTAAAATGGATTAGAATAACAAATGAGCAAAATAGGTAAAAACCCTTTCTTCAGAGTTATAATTCATAAACTGGCCAGAATTTGCAAATGACATTTATATTTCTTTTGGTATAAATAACTATTGTTTTCAAAAATTGTAATATATGGGACATTGTTTAAATATATGTATGTGTAACTGATAAATGAACATGATATGCAAATATTTGTTCAAAATAATTTGATAATCTTTGAATAACAGTTGAAATATCAATACAAAAATAACAGTTAAAATATCAACATAAATAATTGTTGAAATTCGATATTGTAGAGAAGCATTATCAGTTTATTCTGGAATATTTATCTAGCAAATTTTATTTCCCCAATATAGAAATAACCAACTGTATTTAGACAATATCATAAACAACACAATAAAACCGATAAATATAGCAATACTACTTTTTATCTGAAACCCTGATTATATATTTTATGATGAAACATAAAATCGAATTTTAAGTAAATATTCTGTGTTTTGACATATTCTATTCTACCAATATTCAACTCATATATAAAAAACTTTAACAATAACCAAGATATATTGTTTTACCTACATTGATAATTCCGTTTTTTTTCTAAATATTTTGTATTGTTATGCCCCAAAATGTTTCTAATCGTAAAACCCACGTTAAGAGTAGTTATCAATGCAAGTTATGTAAATTTATACAAAAAAACATGTAAACATATCGACTAGAGATAACGTCAGTGTGTGCGTAAATAGTGTCCTTGTAAAAACTAGGTTTTACATTTTTAAATTTTTGCGCCGTTAAGTTATAGGTGGCGCTGCCAGACGTTTGATCGATAGTTTCAAGGCCACTCGATCGACCTTTTCGTCCTATGACGACATCGCTTGGCTGTGTGCTAATTCTTTCGATTTTAAACCCGTCACCAAATTGTGCAAGTAAAAACGTAGAGAAAGCGGAAAGTTTTGCCTATGTAAATTCTTAAAATTAAAATATGTAGAAGCGTCGTTACTGATATAAGCGAATGATGAGAGTTAGGACGTTTAATAAATTAGGTATATTCTAAATATTTTCAGAGGACCTACCTAAATTATGATTATATACGTTTTAAATCAAAGTAAAAACAATATTTCTAATTTAAAACAACAATGACGTCGCATTAATGCAAAAAATTAATTGTATCTAGTATCTAACAATTTAAATTATTTTTATATCCCAACACCAAACGATTATTATCTATCACTTCATTTAAATTCATGCAAAAAATGAGAAATATGGAATTCACAGTAATTTTGTAGGTCGTTCAAGGATAAATTTACGTTGAACAATATTTACGAATATGTGAAATTCAAGATAAGTTATTTGAACATGCTACTATAAATAGTTACTGAAATGTTAGCATTATAGATAAGAAATTACGTTTCTAAAATAAGGTAAAAAAAGTATTGGTACACAGCCAAAGCCATCGAATAATAATGGAGGCCATTATTGTAATATACACAAATTTATCTTTACGCCTTTAAGAAATATGCTAATATTAAGTTGGGAGCGATTTCAATGTTAAATTTACTGCTGAAATTATGTTTAAATAATAATTATAATAATGATCGTTTTACCTTCCTTCAAATTAACGTGTGCATAAAAAGTACGCGTCATATTTGCCGTGTTTCTTGGGAAAGCGCTAAAATACGGCCCTATTTCGCAAATTTCCAAAATAAAACGAATTTTGAAAGAAGTTTTGCGTAATTTTGGGCAGTATATAGCCTTAATTGTGCCCGTTTGGTGGTAATTGGCCCCAGGGAGTGTACCCACGCCCATGTGGTAGGTATTTGACATCGGAAATGCGTTATAAGAATTTTCCACGGATATAAATCGTTCTCAACGTAATTTTAACATATTTCTGGCCTCGAAAACGGTGTCGTGTAATTTTGCCGTAAAAATTAATTGCAAACCTTTTGATATCACATACGAGCGCCATTACAACCTAAGTAAATATTCACTAGTCAGGAATATATTAATGAAATGGCATGAAAGTCACTCATTCACTGTTTATCTGTCCTGATCTGTTTGAGGGACAGACATTCTTAAGAAATTACGCATATTTTCATGTAAAACCGACTATTCTCTTTGGCGAGGAGACCACAAATGATTTTCTTATGAAGGAATTTTGATATCGAACTCGTAGCTTAGAAACCAACCAATCGCTATGCAGAATATGTCACTTTCAGCCAATCGTAAGCAGACAATCGACCATCCCAAAGGTTTCTGACCCGCAGGGTCCCGGATATTTCCCACGCAATATGATCCGATATCTAGATTTTCGACCTTATCGCTTCTTGCATAAGGAAAATTATTATTTTCTTTAATTTCATAAAAAAATTATTCGAATTTTTGGAATCATATACTCAATAACAACCCACTGAACTAAATCAAACTGTTTTACCGTCTAAAGCGGTCACAGTTTTACAGAAAATAAGGTGTAACATGACGAGCAGTTGTCAAACAAAGGAAACTTCTCTTTGCAACATTGTTCGAACCAAAAAAGGCACGTAAATGTTATTGTCTAAAACATATCTTATTTTTACAATAAATTCATGACCATTTAGCAACTTTTTAAATGAGAAAAACGTGAAAATAGATGTAGGTATCACATTTCAGTACACCTAGTGACATCTATATTTAGTAAGCTAAAGCTAATTACTAAACAACAAAGTGGATACAATGACAAGAAGAAATCAATGATAGTTGACTATTCGTTCGTAGATGGCGCAAAAAGGAAAATTCAAACATCGGCGGGCTTCTCTAGGTCAAGTGGTCAAGAACAGAAAGGTTTGGAATTCCCAATTATTTATTTGTAAACAGGTTTAAGAAGACCATGTTATCTGTTTATAAGTTCAAGAAAATTCAATTTTCAACTAAGTGGTTTACAGTTTTGGAACAAATCCATATGTTAACAGTTTTATATACGATTTAATCTAGGAGTAAATTTAAGGTAAGTTTTATTTATAATGTGACAGAAATAAGGTGGATATTAAAGCAATTGCTGTTGGAAAAATACTAGACGCAGTCGTTTACTAATTGTATATAATTATAATTTTTCATTAATTAAGTAATTACGATCCTATGAAAGGTAAATAAAATATGTATAATTTACATAATTCTTAGTTTATTGATAGATCTTCAATTACACTTATTTTATATATTTATTATTTATTATATATTTATTATTTAGTTGAAATCTTTTATTGTTTCTGTGATATAGCTTTGAACATGAATTCACCTGCTGTTCTTTTTGTCCAGATTGGTACGAATATTTAAATATCTTAATTTTCAATTATTGAAACTTTTAGACACAGTGTTTGTTAAGGAAAGCCTAGGGTCAAAATAGATTTAAATAAATATTATCTTAATGACATCATTTAAGTAATGGTCCTATTTGTTAATTAATGTTGTTAATAAGCAGTCGTTAAATTTTTAAGAACAAGTTTACACTGATTCTTGAAAATATTTTATAAGCTAATAATAATCCACGATGCAAAATTAAAAATTAGTAAACAAGTTTACAGGAATTATAAATTTATAGTAATATTATATGCGAATTATATTTGTTTACTTATCGATAGAATGCATTTCTCTTTTTTAGATATAAAACATGAAACTATATTTTATGTTATTTGGTATCACAATCCAATTTGTGGTCAGTCAAAAACCATCGCCTTGCCCAGAAACGTTTTCGTATGAACCTAGAGGAAGCGAAAATGATAGATGGTATGGAGTCATATCCCTTAAGACAACAGAAGAATTAACAGGAGTGTGGCTGCGACTTATCCTCGACAGGCCAGCTGAGCTAATAGGGGTATGATACTTAATATGTTCTAAATCAACAAACATTAAGTACCAGCAGTTGTGGACTATTTTCCTTATTTCAGAACTGGTTTGGAGAAACATCGTCCACCGATAATATAGAATATGTCATTCGCAACCCCAAATACAAACTAGAAGTTGGGCCCCCTGTTTCAGTACGGTTTTTTGTTAAATACAACCCTGCCCAGCGCATTCCAAGCCTTGAAGGTATAAGACTTAACGCGAAGACCATTTGTTCGGCCCTGAAGGATGAGGCGGAATTAAAGCCCGTCGAACCTATCCTTCACATCAGCCAATTACGACCAACAGGTTCTATTAATAATAATAATCAAAACTACATGCCTAGCGGTTCGAACAGTGAGAAGCCTTCAGAGAGTAGTAACGGAAGAAATAAGCCTTCGAATAGTGATAGAAACAGAGGTGGTAGTTCTAATAATAATAATAACAACAGCGACAGAAGGCAAAGTAGTAACTCAAATAGGCAAAGCACCACTACCAAGAGGCCGAGTAGTAGCGAAAGGCCCAACTACAACAGGTACAATAAGGGTATAATGTTAACGTTGTACTTAATGTTACAGAACACAAGTATTTTGTTAAAACTTAACTTTTCATTTCAAAGAGTTTATATAAACCGGGTCGTATTTCAGAGAAACTGTAACAGCGGAAATCTTAAGGCCTAACATCGGAGTATTGTACGGTAATTCAGAGTAAGTTCACAAATTCAGTTCTGATTTATCGACTACCTAATCTGTATATCGACAGGATAGACGAAAGCGATTCCCAGTTTTTCCCAGGGGACTTTGGAATCCCTCTCGCACCTTCTCAAAACAGACCTACTTCAAGCTCCGGGCAAATTGGTAGCAAGTTGTCAAGCTGCGGAACCGTAGCTACCTCGCCCGCTGCCTTAATTTCTTATGGTCAAGAAACATGGCCAGGTAAAGTACAGAAAATAGAATAATAATATTTCAGCCCCTCTGCAGAGGTAAAAAATTGATATTTTTTTTGTCGCTGCTTCTATTGATTAGGTTATTTTTATTTTAGAAAGATCACATGTTAAATTGATATGTGTGAGTAGTAGTTGAAATAATAAATGGAACCACATCCATTAGTTTTTGTTTCCAAATTCTTCTAATTTTTTTTTTAACTTTTGTTCTGTGTTACGCCTATTTGTATACTCAATACTTGCTAATAGCAACTGGATATTCTATGATCGATTGTCGGAAGTGGCATTTTCCTGTATAATATATTTTATAACATTTGTGGTCATTACATGTCTCGTATTTCAAGAATAAAACTTAGTTTCGGTGTATAATTGACATTTCAATATTGAATTACATTTGTTCTTTGTTTATGTTTCCGATTGACATTGTTAAAATGTCTGTCGTGGTTTATTTTCTTTCGTTCAATGAGAAAGACCAAAGATTATTCCTGTCTCAACAGATACGTTATTACCCCATCAAATGCGTTTTCTTTATTTAAAGGCTAAAATGATTAGTTTTCGAAATATTTGAACAAAACCAAAATTTTTCAAATCCGTTTTTGTTTAATTTCAGCCTTGTTTGAAGTGACATTGAAAAAAGAAGAACACTTTCTCATGGCAACTTTTTGCCCTCTTTTGAATGGCATAATCAATTTTTATATGTAACGTTTCGTTTCTCCAGGACCATCATCAACTTCATTTTTTTAAATACAAGCTTAGAAATTTTATTACATTTTTTGCAAGCCTTCATGACCCACAATACTGTACTGCCTCAACCCGAACCAGATTCAGACGTTTTGTCCCGAAAAAATTATCTTCAATGTATTCATTTTAAATTTATCTATTTTTTTTTAGATTTCTATGTTTCTTCAATTATCGTACACTGTAAGTGTCGTTAGACCCTGTGAAATCCACCCAGTTATTTAAACTATTACCACCACACGTTACAATAAAACATTATTAGAGTTTTAATGACGTGCTCATAGTTGATTCTTGGTTTCTCGAGTGCTCAAAATTCAAATAAATTTCGATCTAATTTTTTTCAGGATATACAAATACTTCTGACATGCTCCAGTTACGGGTATAATAAATTCCGATCATATTACGCTTGTCTTCATTTTCAACATTTGCCAAAATGGAAACGTTTTTGAACTTTTACTGTAATTTTTTAAAGTATAATATTCATTTGGTGTTTTTGTTGTTCATATGCATTTTTAAGATTTAATTTGTCATATTGATATTAAAATTGTAATATTGTTTTAATTTTGACGCAACAACTTATCGAATTATGTATAGTCATATAAGTGATGGAGATTAAAACTCTAATAATGTTTTATTGTAAGAGGTTTAAATAACTAGGTGGATTTCACAGGGTCTAACGGCACTTAGAGTGTACGATAATTCAGTAAACATAGAAATCTAAATAAAAAATTTAGACAAATTTGGAATAAATACATTGAAGATGAATTTTCGATCCAAAACATCTGAATCTGGTTCGGGCTGAGGCAGTACAGTATTGAGGGTCATGAAGGCTTGCAAAAAATGTAATAAAATTTCCAGAATCGTATTTAAAAAATGAAGTTGATGATGGTCCTGAAGAGACGAAACGTTACATATAAAAATTGATTATGCCATTCGATAGAGAGCAAAAAGTTGTCATGAGAAAGTGTTCTTCTTTTTTCAATATCGCCTCAAACAAGGCTGAAATGAAACAAAAACGGATTTCCAAAATTTCGTTTTTTTTCAAATATTTCGAAAACTAATCATGTTAGCCTTGATTTTTTAGAGGCATAATGTTGGTCCCTTNTTATATATTTTTATGTTTTATGGATACTTGTTATTTCAACTCTATTTTTATATTCTATTGAATAAAAAAATACAAAAGCCACTTGTCTTTGAAATAGCTATTATTTATTATATATTTATTATTTAGTTGAAATCTTTTATTGTTTCTGTGATATAGCTTTGAACATGAATTCACCTGCTGTTCTTTTTGTCCAGATTGGTACGAATATTTAAATATCTTAATTTTCAATTATTGAAACTTTTAGACACAGTGTTTGTTAAGGAAAGCCTAGGGTCAAAATAGATTTAAATAAATATTATCTTAATGACATCATTTAAGTAATGGTCCTATTTGTTAATTAATGTTGTTAATAAGCAGTCGTTAAATTTTTAAGAACAAGTTTACACTGATTCTTGAAAATATTTTATAAGCTAATAATAATCCACGATGCAAAATTAAAAATTAGTAAACAAGTTTACAGGAATTATAAATTTATAGTAATATTATATGCGAATTATATTTGTTTACTTATCGATAGAATGCATTTCTCTTTTTTAGATATAAAACATGAAACTATATTTTATGTTATTTGGTATCACAATCCAATTTGTGGTCAGTCAAAAACCATCGCCTTGCCCAGAAACGTTTTCGTATGAACCTAGAGGAAGCGAAAATGATAGATGGTATGGAGTCATATCCCTTAAGACAACAGAAGAATTAACAGGAGTGTGGCTGCGACTTATCCTCGACAGGCCAGCTGAGCTAATAGGGGTATGATACTTAATATGTTCTAAATCAACAAACATTAAGTACCAGCAGTTGTGGACTATTTTCCTTATTTCAGAACTGGTTTGGAGAAACATCGTCCACCGATAATATAGAATATGTCATTCGCAACCCCAAATACAAACTAGAAGTTGGGCCCCCTGTTTCAGTACGGTTTTTTGTTAAATACAACCCTGCCCAGCGCATTCCAAGCCTTGAAGGTATAAGACTTAACGCGAAGACCATTTGTTCAACCCTGAAGGATGAGGCGGAATTAAAGCCCGTCGAACCTATCCTTCACATCAGCCAATTACGACCAACAGGTTCTATTAATAATAATAATCAAAACTACATGCCTAGCGGTTCGAACAGTGAGAAGCCTTCAGAGAGTAGTAACGGAAGAAATAAGCCTTCGAATAGTGATAGAAACAGAGGTGGTAGTTCTAATAATAATAATAACAACAGCGACAGAAGGCAAAGTAGTAACTCAAATAGGCAAAGCACCACTACCAAGAGGCCAAGTAGTAGCGAAAGGCCCAACTACAACAGGTACAATAAGGGTATAATGTTAACGTTGTACTTAATGTTACAGAACACAAGTATTTTGTTAAAACTTAACTTTTCATTTCAAAGAGTTTATATAAACCGGGTCGTATTTCAGAGAAACTGTAACAGCGGAAATCTTAAGGCCTAACATCGGAGTATTGTACGGTAATTCAGAGTAAGTTCACAAATTCAGTTGTGATTTATCGACTACCTAATCTGTATATCGACAGGATAGACGAAAGCGATTCCCAGTTTTTCCCAGGGGACTTTGGAATCCCTCTCGCACCTTCTCAAAACAGACCTACTTCAAGCTCCGGGCAAATTGGTAGCAAGTTGTCAAGCTGCGGAACCGTAGCTACCTCGCCCGCTGCCTTAATTTCTTATGGTCAAGAAACATGGCCAGGTAAAGTACAGAAAATAGAATAATAATATTTCAGCCCCTCTGCAGAGGTAAAAAATTGATATTTTTTTTGTCGCTGCTTCTATTGATTAGGTTATTTTTATTTTAGAAAGATCACATGTTAAATTGATATGTGTGAGTAGTAGTTGAAATAATAAATGGAACCACATCCATTAGTTTTTGTTTCCAAATTCTTCTAATTTTTTTTTTAACTTTTGTTCTGTGTTACGCCTATTTGTATACTCAATACTTGCTAATAGCAACTGGATATTCTATGATCGATTGTCGGAAGTGGCATTTTCCTGTATAATATTTTTTATAACATTTGTGGTCATTATATGTCTCGTATTTCAAGAATAAAACTCAGTTTGTTCTTTATTTATGTTTCCGATTGACATTGTTAAAATGTCTGCCCTGGTTAATTTTCTTTCGCTGAATGAGAAAGACCAAAGATTATTCCTGTCTCAACATATACGTTATTACCCCATCAAATGGCTTTTCTTTATTGTGGAAATATTAATTTAAATATTTTATTTGTATGGTGCACAATTCTTGTAGATCCATTATTCTTATTGCTCCTTCTATCTCTTTGAATGTTAATCATTTTGATGTGAGTTGGTATACAGGCTGTTACAAATTCGCTTCTCACTACAGGGATCTCGGAAACGGTAAGAGATAGAAAGCAGTTTAAATGGGGGCAAAGTTGCATAATCAGGGGGCCAATATTATGCCTCTAAAAAATCAAGGCTAATGAAGTTGATGATGGTCCTGAAGAGACAAAACGTTATGTATAAAAATTGATTATGCCATTCGATAGAGAGCAAAAAGTTGCCATGAGAAACTGTTTTTCTTTTTTCAATATCACCTCAAACAAGGCTGAAATGAAAGAAAAACGGATTTCTCAAATTTCGTTTTTTTTTCAAATATTTTGAAAACTAATCATGTTAGCCTTGATTTTTTTAGAGGCATTATGCAACTTTGCCCCCATTTAAGCTTGTACTTCGTATCTCTTACCGTTTCCGAGATCCCTGTAGTGAGAAGCAAATTTGTAACAGCCTGTATATAGCTTGTTTTTTATTTGTGTTCTTACCACTTAGTCTGTTTTCAATTCTATTACGCCAAAGGAGTATGCTAGGATTAAAACGTCAAATGTGCTAATGGGTTTAAACAGGTTATTCGAGTTACGTTTTCACTCCAGAAGCAGGTACAATCTCAGTTTATAACGCCGCTATAAGCCTTGTTCTATTGTGGAACGGTTTATTGTTTTGATTAAAGCTTTAATATTTCTATAATTCATACTAGTCCACTTCATGTATTTTGGTTACTTATCTCTTCAGTTTGTTCGTGTTTCCTTTTTTATTTTTCTACAACGTTTTTATATTTAATTTTTCTGTGTACCATAATATGTATACGAAGCATATCCATAAAGTAAGAGTACTCGATTCTTTAAAAATCAAAACGGCAGTGTATGAAACATTTACATATGCAGAAAGGTACATCAAACACTATTTTTCAACATATTCACCTTCAAGGGCGCCTTTCCATTTGCAAGAAACCAAATTACCCTTCTCACCTTGTAGCTGAGAGATTGATTCAGAGTAGCGGCACTCATTTCAACAAGCCACTACAACAACAGTTCTCAACTGACTGAGACAAATGCATTCTACTCCCAACACCTTGGCCTTGAAGCAGTGTTGTCAACTTTGTCGAAAACAAATACCACAGACTGTCTCAATACTCTTACTTTGTGGACATGCCTCGTATTGTTAAAAGTTGCTTCTGTTGTTTTTAAACAATTCCTACAATAACTGTATGCATACATTTCTATATCTTCCATTTGCATTAAGGGGTTTATTTTTTACTACACCCATTCTTCTAGGGCAATGGCCTTGGCACGCCGCATTGTACCTGTCCAGGGGCATTCAACTTAGGTATATATGCGGGGGCACACTCATATCAGAACGGCACATTGTCACCGCTGCCCACTGTGTCACCACACCTCAGACCAACAGAATCGTGAACCCAACCAACTTGTTGATATATCTAGGCAAGTTTTGAAATTTAAAAAATACATTTAATCGCATACGTCACATATTTTATTTTAGGTAAACACAAACTGATATCGTTTGGAACAGAAGTACAAGACAGGGGCGTATTAGATATATTTATTCATCCAGAATACAATCACACTGTATATTATAACGACATAGCCGTTTTGAAACTTACAAAACCAGTAACCATAACAAACTACGTAAGGCCTTGCTGTCTGTGGGAAGGAGATACAAATTTGGACAATGTTCTTCATCAGGAAGGTAGATATTCCAAGACGAACGATAATTTTAATGGAAATAATGGTGTTTAATTTTTTAGGGACAGTTGTAGGCTGGGGCTTTGACGAAAACCGAGAACTATCGGACAAGTTGATGCAAGCTAAAATGCCTATAGTTTCCACTGTGGACTGTATTTTCTCCAATAGAGATTTCTTCTCTCGATTCACGTCGGAAAAAAACTTTTGTGCTGGATTTAGAAATGGTAAATATCAGGGTGTAACTTTAAGTGAGAGAGGTCAGTTTTTTTATGGATAATAATGTTCCCCAGGATAAAAAATATTAAAAATGTGAATAGGCATACGATACTAATTGCAATTAACACTAATTTAAAATTTTTGTTGACCTGATCTGGTAGATTTGAAGTATTTAATGAAAAGTGTTTGTTTTTTAAAGCACTGAGTTTAGTCCACTGTCGTGATATGACAACAGGGTGCTAGGCAAGCAAAATTTATTCAGCGAAACAAGAATGGCTGAATTCACTTTCTGTTTCATTTTATTACATCTATTTTAGTTTTTAATTTTAAAAGTCAATTTAAGAGGTGTTTGTGTGATGTATTAGTTTTGTGTAGTGTATTACAGTTTAGTAACGAAACGGTGTGTTTGTGTCTTTAATACCAAATTTATGTGTGATATTATGAAAAAAACATGTATAGGTATAAAAAAAGATGAGATTTCACAACAGTGTATGCCATTGCTCTTAACCGGGAATGTGCTCGCGGTTGTTTGATGTTACACTATCTTGTCCAGTGGCAGGGTATGAAAATTACAAAAAAGGTTTAAAAAAATAAAAAATTCAGTTTTTTGGAAGATAAACTTATGACGTGTTCTTTTTATATGTAAAAAGTAACTCCTGTATATTTATGACCCCCATTCAAAGTAAAATCCTGTACCGAGGGGTTTATTACGATGGAGTGTCAAAAGTGAAGGGAGTGTTTTTTGCGTCCAAATTTAAGAATATTTGTTTTTTTTGTTATAAAAGACCTCATTTTTTATATACATGGCATGAAAGTTAAAAAAAATGTTCCTAAACATTTTCTGAAAAGCTATTAAAATAAAATTTTATGTACATAGTACATGAATAAAATGACGGCATTTGAACAATTTTCGTAAAATCATTTTAATATTCTAAGTCAACGATGTTCCGAATGGATATTCTTAAATTTGGGCAAAGTAAATGATTAGGATGGCCCAAAAAAAAAACCGAATATTTTTTTCGTGTCTCTTGTAAAAGTATGTTAGTTTATCATGTTTTAAGAGCCCCCTCAAAAAAAAATTTTTTTAGAGGTCGCTCAAGATTTTTAAAAATTTCCAAAATCGTCAAAAATAGATTTTTTTTCTCTTTATTTTGAAAAAAATCTGGATTCTGAAAATTTCAAATCGATATTTTAATTTCTAAAAGTCCCTCATAATTATTTTAACTTTAAAAGTAGTGTAGGTACCTAAAATATTTTCGAGCGACCTCTAAAAATAAATATCAACGAACTAATAATTTTTTTTTTATTGAATTTGATGAACAAAAGAATAGAAATAAATCACACTTAAATTTTAAAAAATTAAAAAATTATAAATATTTGATACAGTGCGGTAGTAAATTTTGCATCTAGAAGTTTTTTAACTGTCGTGATTTATTTTTATTCTTTTGTTCATCAAATTCAATAATAGTATATTATTCAACGAGCGTATAATGATGGGTATTATTCACGAGGTGAAGTTTACGGCCACGAGCCGCAGGCGAGTGGCCTAAATCACCGAGTGAATAATATCCATTATACGGGAGTAGAATACTATACTTTATCCACGACTACTAAATATTTTTGTTGAAGTTTTTTTTGAAATGTTTCGAAAAACATGGTATGTTAAGAAACAGATATACGACTCGCACAAATGAAGTCGCTGATGGCTTAGTGTAGATGCTCTTTCCCTTCCAACCGCGGGTCCCGGGTTCGAATCCGGTCTAGGAAAATTCACTTTTTTAATTTTTTTTTTATATGTACAGCACTGAATTGAAAATATTTAGTGGTTTACACGATAAAATTTTAAAAACGGATTGTTTGTAGCAGAACAATATAATATTATAGCTAAATTAAGGAAGCATCTGACAGTAGTGATTAATGACTCATTAATCACTGCCGTGATTAATGGGTATTATTAAGGTCGAGCAAACAGACGTATAATGGATACATTATACAATAGTCGTGGATAAAAAAAATTATTAGTTCATTGATTTTATTTTTAGAGGTCGCTCGAAAACATTCTAGGTACTCTACTTTTAAAGTTAAAATAATTATGCGTGACCTTTAGAAATGAAAATTTGAAATTTTCAGAATCGAGATTTTTTTTAACCTAGAAAATGATAAAATAACGAGAAAAAAAATTAAATGTGACAATTTTGGAAATTTTAAAAAATCTGGAGCGACCTCTAAAAAATTTTTTTTGAGCTGATTTTTTGAGGGGGCTCTTAAAACATGATAAACTAACATATTTTCACAAGACACGAAAAAAATTATTCGTTTTTTTTGGGCCAGCCTAATATACATGTTTTATAAAAGTATACAAAAATCGTATGAATTGTGTCAATTTCTTAGATTGCACTTTTTAAATTCAACGATAGAATTCGCCTTTCTTTCTTTTTCAGGTACTTCGGTGTGCAACGGAGATTCGGGCGGTGGGATGGTATTCCCGAAAAGAGGAACAAATGGTCAAAACCCCGTGTGGCAACTTAGGGGTTTAGTGTCCGTGGGTGTGGCCTTACAAGGTCAAGGGGTGTGCGATCCTTCTCACTACATAATCTTCACCGATGTCGCCAAATACACTCACTGGATACAGCAAGTTATAGCCAACTAAACTATGCCATGCTCAGAGCTATAGAAAATACTCATTCTTTGTGATATACTTTTTCTAAGAAAAAATAATATTTTTCCACTCCCGTTTTATGTTATGCTGCCATGAAAGGATTGTGTAAACAGATCAATAAAATATTTTTTAATATTCGTGGTTTTTGTAAGTCGTGGTAATATATTAAAGGAAATTTTTATTAAAAAACAAAAAATTATGGTTTGTGGTTGTTAAAAATTAGAAAAAAAATACAAAGCATGATCATCAAACTTGAAAGTCCACTGTGTTTTATATCTACTTAATATTTATTATATTTTTATACAGGGTGTTACAAAAAAGTAGGTCAAGTTGTTAACTACAGGTGAAAATAATGACTTTCCTTATGCATTTTTGATTTAGATCTAAAATATTTGTCTAAACCAGCGGTATTCAAACTGTGTTCCGCGGAACCTTGGGGTTCCCCACAACCTTTCTGGGGGTTCCGTGAGTCAATCAAAAATTCAAAATTTTGAAATTAACAATATCGATACTACAAAATTCAGAAAATTACTTCTTACTTAAAACTAGTATTTATAAATATATTATATAATCAGTAAAAAATGTGTTTGAAATTTTTTTTAGGTAGGTATGGGGTTCCTCAAAAAAATCAAAATGTTGGTTGGGTTCCACAAGTCGCAAAAGATGAAGACCGCTGGTCTAAACCAATGATTCCCAAAGTGGTCAATATCGATCCCTAGGGGTGTAAGCGAAAACAAAAATTGGGGATGTATGAGATGTAAATGGGGGTCCACGAGAATGGATCCCATTTAAGCAGGTCGTGACCGAAATTTTGGCTTTCCATAAATATAATAATTTACATAAAGCAGATAGTACATATGTACTTACATAATACTTTCTTATAATAGACATATAAATTACATATGAAGTAAAATTTTTTAAACAGTTGATGAAAATGATGAAGATTTGGAGCTAGATTAGGTAACTTTATGACTTCAGGCTTTAATTATGGGAAAATTTGAGATCGATGATGGGATCCTTGAAAGAGGGGTCTACCCAAAACAGGAAAAATTGACATGTGGTCTACGAGACAAAAAAGTTTGGGGACTTCTGGTCGAAACTATAAAAAGAATTTTTATTAAATCTGTTTTTTTCCAATGAAATTTTGTATAGACTTTTACCTTGTACAGACACATCTTTTGTATAATTTTGGTAAAAAAAACTTGTACAAACAGAGGAAATGGGAAAATTGTTGCACAAATAGGGGAAAGGGAAGTCATAATACCTAAAAAGATGCCTCCCCACACCCAACTTTTTCTTGTGCATGTTTATGATTTGAATTTTTTCTTTGAAAAATTTTTATTCTGGGCTTATTTTACTTCTTCCTTTTTGATTATGTTTTTGCTTCGAAAACCATTGTGCTGATAATATTAAGGAAGTCACTCACTAAAATTAAAATCATTAATTGTAACACTGAGATAACTTACATATTTGCTCGCTAAACACAAACTAAACATGGTAGTTGCCTAAAAATGGGCAGGTACATTACTGACAGTGCTACCAATACACAAAAAAAGAATTGACTCGATAGACAAGATACAACACGTGCAATTTGGAAATTCCTGTTACTTTTTCAAACCTTGTATCATGAAGTATACAGGGTGTTCTGAAAGTCAGTTAGATGAACTCTGGTAGGTGATTCTACGGGTCCAAATAATAGCAGTATGCAATGAAAATTTTGTTAGAATTGTCAATTGTTTGCAAGTTACAGCTTGTCAAAGTTCAACTTTTAAAATTTTTCTATTTAAATAACTTATTTAATTCAAATTCGATTAGTTTCTCATTTGGCACACCCACTAAGTAAAATTGTAGTAATTAATCAAGTTACCATGCTTTAAATAAAAGCCTTCAGTAATTTTGGTGTTACGAATTGTAACAAAAATTGTTTAAAGCAGGTACAAGTCTGATTTTTCACCATACAAATTTTTTTCGGCCCTGTAATGGCATTATGAAAAAATAAGATGACGATAATGAATTTACTAATAATGTTTTATTTACTAACAAAGCTGGTTTTACAAGAGAAGGTATTACAGCATGACAACTTGATTAATTGCAGAAAGAATAATTAAAAATTTGATGTTTAATAACACTTTAATAGTGATTTCCTGCTAAACGATTACATTTATCGGCTTGAATAAAGAGTACATAATTTTTTCTGATATTGTTTCTCTTTTCATTAATGTATACATTTCTGTGATGTCTAGCAAGAGAAATTTTGAGTTCTAGGTAAAGTGCCCTCTAGGGGCGCATAATGAAACTTCTCTGACTGGCATTCAAATGTGTCACTCTAACATTAAATTACACTTTTTTATATAAAAAACTGTTAGAAAAGCTTATTACATCACTAACAATAGGCCCCAATTTCAAAGTTGTTTTTGTCTATCTTAGTTTGTTCCCTAAAAAAAATTTGGAATTTTTAATCACAGGAAGTTAATGAATATTACATATCTGCAAAAGTTATAATTTTAATCATTACGTTCTACCTCTCCCCTCCCTTTCACACTTTGACCTTTTTGACAAAAAATATACAAAATATGTGCATAAGATACATAGAAGTCTGTGTAAAATTTCACCTTGACGCCTTAGAATATTAATAAGAATCTTTTTTTATGGTACTTTTTGTATGCCAAAATGAAAAATGGCATATGGAAATTGGCATTGTTTTCACTTGAATCCGTGGTTAATGACGTTACCTACTCTTGCAACAGCCCGTATTTCAAACATTTTTATATCTTTTAAGTAAATTGATAAATTGTTAATTTGAAAACATTCATTTCAATTAAATTCCAGTACATGTATTCTTATAATTTTTAACACCAGTAAATTCAAAATTTTAATGTTAACACTTAACAGAAATGTATTAATGATGGAAAAGCAAAACCTGTTTAAATTTTTAGAACTTTGCCATTTCTTACTATTTTTATCAGATATCTGGATTTTCCCATTAAGAGTTGTTCTTCAGACTTTCATCAATGCATCATTAAGCTTCAAGGATAAATTCTACCATCCCACAGTTAAAAAAGATTCAAACAAAATATTCAATAACACATTTTTTTAATTATAACAACACAAACTTTACTCCTACCACTTCTATGCAATTATAATTTTAAATTTATACAATTATTATGTTAATAACTGGTTATGAGATAGAAACTGTTTATTATAATTTTAACTATAATGCATTTAAAGCATATTAATTTATATTTCATGCAGTGTACTGCAATCTCTTATCAAAAGCTAACAAATCAATTAGCATAGGTGATCTTTGTGATTAAAAAAATCAATTCAGTAAGCTAATCCATTTATTCATTATAATTAAATACTATACGTTCATTGCAACTAAAGAACAGGCATTAAAAACATCAATTAAACATAAATTACACACTACACTTATTTTTCAATTTAGAAAACATGATATTACATTTCACGATGCTCTTTGCTTTAACACAACTAGCGGCTAGTCAAAATCCAGCGCCATGTCCCGACATATTTTCATATGAACCAAGAGAAGATGGAAGTGATAGGTGGTATGGGAAAATTCAGTATTCAGCAACTAACAACTTAACAGGAATTTGGCTCCAAATACTTCTTGACAAACCAGCAGATATATTAGGGGTATGTCTAGTGTACCACTTCGATCAGTGCTTATTAGTTGATTTATGACTACTAATAATAGAAAATTCTAGGATTGACAGTCTTGGTTGCTACTTGGAAATAGCTTGCAATAAAAAATATAATGATTACTTTTCTAGAATTGGTTCGGGCAAATAACTACTTGCGACAACACAGCATATGTTATTCGAAAACCAGGGTACGTGTTACAAGTTGGTCAGTACCTTTCTCTACGTTTTTTTGTCAAATTTAACCTAGCTAAGCCAATACCTAGCCTTATGGCAATAAAATTAAATGGAAATGACATTTGTGCTGAACAGACAAACAAACCAAACAATGTTGATAGGTGTAACAAATAGATTACTATAAAATGCAACGTTTATTTCCATTTTTTCAATTTTAGTGAGCTGGTAGACAACGATCAAGTCGTCAAACTGACCAGTATGCCTTCCAGTAACGCAAGGTAAATGTGAAATAGTCTAATTTAGAGAATGAACCTCTTACCTGAATTTGTTTTAGACTTACGGTTGAATTCTCAACAACTGATTTATTAGACGAAGCGATACCAAGTTGTGGAATCTCAGCTTCTAGAGCTTTTCCGTTAATATACGAAGGTCAAGAAACATCACCTGGTATGTAAAAGTTAATATTTGTTTTTTAACAATACACTATAATAAATTTGCAGGGCAGTGGCCTTGGCACGCAGCCTTGTACCATCACGAATCTTTCGAAGTTAAGTATTCTTGCGGGGCCACACTTATAACGCGGCAGCATGTCGTCACTGCTGCACATTGCGTCAGCGATATCGGCACCAAAACTGTCAAGGATGTAAGCGATATCTCAATCGGTCTAGGTAACACCATAGTTTTTTTGTATAAAAAATTGATTGTATCCCACAGAGTGGTATTTCTTTTTATAGGCAAATATGACTTGAAAACATATGAAGAAAACTTTCAGCATGTGGGATTGTTAAATATATTCGTACATCCGAAATATAACCCTTGGAAATCATACAACGATATAGCAGTCTTAAAGCTGTCTAGCCCGGTGCAAATCACAGATTATGTACGACCATCTTGTCTATGGGACGGAGATTCCAATTTGGAGAATATTATTGGTAGAGAAGGTAACCAATAGACAATTTTATTTAATCTCTACAAATTTGATTTAGAAATTGTTATAATTTGGTATATTTGTGGCACCTTTTTACATGTTACAATTAATTTTTCAATTTCGTGGCCAAATTTCAAAAGAAAAATCAATCACAATAACGACAAGCTATAAACCATAACATACTTGTAATTTATACTAGACAAATATAACGGCATAATGTTTAAGATAAAAACAAATGACAAAATTCTAAATTTTAGTTAAAATTGGAATTATTGAATAAATATGTATTGTAACCCATTAAAAACCTCCAAGTTTGGTCGATAAATTAAGACCAGTTATACGGTCTCCTAAACTGCTTGGTCAATTTATTGATATACAGGGTGATTCTAAAACATGTAGCCAAACTTATATGACGAAAACTAGAGGTCAAAATTGATTGTTTGAACCTAATTTAACCTTAAGGGGGGCAGTTGATTCTTTATACTACATGCAATATTGTGAAGATTAAGTATTTTTAAAGTAGGTTGTTTAAAACAAGTTTATGAAAACAATCGAAATGTCATACTGATAGTAGTTTCAATAATTAAGGGTGTAACTCAATTACAATATCGTACTTATTTATAAAAAGTTTTCATTTAATTTATGAAAAATTACTTTAGCGCATGTCACGGTAATTCGACGGCTGCTGTTAGACGGTATATGGAAACATTTTCAAATCATTGTGTGCCACACAGACAAACTATTAGGAATATCAAGAATCGATTGCGAGAAAATAACTCTTTTAAATCCAGACATAATGATGCTGATCGAGTTCTATATGTTCGTACACATAACACTGCAATTTGGTAAATTAGGTTAAAACAATCTATTTTTTCTAATTATATCACGGTATAAGTTTAGGTACATATTTTAGAATCACACTGTATCGTATCTTAAGAAATACTACAATTTATGTCCCATTATAACTCGGACAGTTTCATAGTGGTTAAAAAAAATATAACATACAGGGTGTTCCACGGTGATGAGACATTAGACATATTTCAGAGACTACTTCGATTTTAATTTTGAAAATTTGGGCAATATAATAATGTTTTTGGGCAACTAAAATAATGGCGTCCACCTAACGCTTCCGGTTATACCGGAAGTTGATGTCATCTTTGTTATCTTAAATGGAACACTCTGTATATTATTACAGTTTTGGATTCTATGTCAATTTTTAGGTGAACTTTCATAAAGGTTTCCTATTCTTCAAGTTAACCGTTTTTGATCTATTTAATATTTTTAAAAAAAAAATTAAAAAAACTGCCTAATTCAAAAAGATGTGTATTTTACAATAATAAAGTTAGATCTAGAAAAATTATAGGAGACATAAGTAAAACTCTAAGCTTGCCCTGCCATAAATTTCAAAATGACTTCATACAGGGTGGTAGAAATTTAATGCCGAGTTTAGTCAACTTTAAACCATCTTAACTTATTTTTTTTTAAATGGAACACCCTGTATATTTTTGCGCAACCTGATGAACAAATTTGTTCTCTTTCGAATGGTATAATTGTTCACTATACCCATCTCTTCTGTTTTTCGTACAGTCAATGGATATCGCATAAATTCTTGCAAGGATGGCTGTGAAATTTTTAGTAGAATCTCAAAACAAGCACCTAATCTTTCACCAGTTTATTGTTGTCGATTTAACACATACAGTGAATGCTTATTTTAGTATTACTTATTGTTAAAGTATGGAAAAGTTAACACTTATCCAAATGCTGACATTCTAAATAACAAGGATGGAGACAAGGATGGAGGTTTTTGAAATGCTTAAATTTTGTTAAGCAGCATAAACTGATGATTCAGGATAAGCATGAAAAATATGCCAAAATGTTGACGACATCTAAAGTTATCGGTTTTGGCAAAATTCTATGTGCAGAAATTCAACCACATTCTAATTGATTTCTTAAAATTCTTCATAAAATGTGTCTACTCATTGGTGGTACATGAGGATATCTGTCATTAAATACCCTGCAAGTCCTATTTATCATCTCCATGCATGAATAAATAATAAATTTAGTAGTCTCTGAAATATACCTAATGTCTCGTCACCGTGGGACACCCTATAGAATATGTTTAATTCCATCGATTTAAAAAAAATGAATATTTTAGGTATGGTTGTGGGATGGGGTCTCAATGAGAACTATTCACATAGGTTGACGCAAGCCGCGATGCCAATTGTGTCCACTAGAGACTGCATTTCCTCAAAAAAAGAGTTCAGGGAGTTCCTGAACGAAAATAATTTCTGTGCTGGAGATAGAAAGGGTAACGATTTCTAATGATTCTCATGATATATCATGACGACTTTTTTAGGGTCTGCAGCATGTAGAGGCGACTCAGGTGGCGGAATGGTTTTCCCAAAAAAATACGAAAAAGGACAAACTGTGTGGTATATCAGGGGTATTGTATCCCTAAGTCTAGTTCCGGGGAAGGCTGAATTGTGTGAAACGACAAATTATAATATTTTTACCGATGTGGCCAAATTTACTCAATGGATAAGAGATGTTATACGCAATTAATAATAGTTATATTATTTGTTACTTTCATAAAATAAATAACAAAATGTTTATTACTTGTTGCACAGTTTTTCTGGAGAAACTAGTTTCAAATGAATTGCTGTCTGTTGAGACTTTAAACAAATCTTAATAAAAACATATTTTCTAAAATTTAAACATCATATTAGAGAATATATTCGTAAGTATTTTTTTAAATACGTCATTTAATAACCCATAAATTTTTGGACATTAATAGTAAAACACACTGTATGTATACAGGATGATTCATTAAGAATGGGCAATCCCTAAATTGGAGATACTATGCACCAAAATATATGCAAATAACTCAAAAACCTATAGAGTTAGATGACTTAAACAAGAGGTCCTTCTCTATGACACAAAAATTTGTTCTGATTTACTGATTCCCTGTATAGATAGCGGCAAGTTCAGCAACAAATTTGTAATTCTCATACCAAAACAAATAAAAGTACCAATTTAAAATTACCAATTATCTACCAATACCAATTTTCTAAAATTATTGAGAAATTTCAAAGTAAAATTTCAACTTTGAACACTGTATTATTCTTAACAGATCACCCTGTATACATAGTAAAAAAAATAGAACAAAGCAATTGCTGTGAGAAAAACAATTTAAAGAATTATTATAATATTATTTCCATGCAATTTGAATTTTAAATTCACTTTACTGCGTTGCTTGTAATAACTAGTTGTGGAAAAAATACCGGTTTATACAATAATTTATACAAGGTGGTCCGTTTTCCATGGCTCACCATTGGCATCTGGGAAACCGTAAGATATACAGGATGGCTCAAATTAGAAAAAAGTTGCGCCTCTTCAGGGTCATTAAAATAAACCAAACAGATCAAAGATATCTGCTGCCGTTCCCAAGATATTGTGTAAAAACTGAAAATAGTGATTTTAGAAAATGCCATCTAGCGTCTTTATTTCACAACAGAAAGAGCTGAAATTTAGTACTGGGGGATAAGATACGAGCAATCCATTTTCGTCGAAAAAAAATTTCTGCGACACTAGTTTCAGTTATGCAACATTCAATTGTTTTTTTTTTCTTATGGAGGCCATATTGGATCTTGAGAGTAACGGATAGAGGATAAAATTACTAACATGTCAATGTGTAAACACTACTAATTTATTTGAAGAATAACCCGTAAAATTAAAGAAATTCAGTAATTTATTTAAAAAATTAATAAAATTGGCGCTAGATGGCATTTCACAATATTTCAGGAACGGCAGCAGATATCTTTGATCTGTTTAGTTTATTTTAATGACCTTGAAAAGGCACCACCTTTTTCTAAATTGAACCGCCCTGTATATCTTACGGTTTCCCAGATGCCAATGGTGAGCCATGAAAAACGGACCACCCTGTATGCGTTCGCAGTTTGCAAACTAAAATTAGTCAATATATTTTGTGTTTTGCCAGACAACACAAACATAAATCAGTTAAACGTGTAGGATGATTTAAATGCAGATTTAGATGTTCAACAGGTAAACAAATATTTTTAAGTGATGCATATTTCGATGCTTTAGCACGAAAACATGCTATCTCAGATTTCAGTTGGAAAACATGCTATCTCAAATTTCGGTTGGAAAACATGCTATCTCAAATTAAGCTTGGAAAACATGGTAGCTCAGATCTTAAATATTCCTTACTTTTTGAAAAATATATTATATAAGTTTATTATAAATGCACGGTTTCAATCATTCCAATTTCATGCCAATTTAAATTTCTAGTCAAACTAAGATAGCATATTTTTACTAAAAGATCTGAGCTAGCATGTTTTCCAAGATTAATTTGAGATAACATGTTTTCCAACCGAAATTTGAGATAGCATATTTTTCAACCGAAATCTGAGATAGCATGTTTTCGTACTAAAGCGTCGATTTTTTAACACTTAAACTAATCTTTTTTTAGATCATAAACATGAGACGTCTATTTATCACATTCTTCCTTTTAACAAGGTCAATTATCGCCCAAAATCCAACACCATGTCCCGAAATATTTTTGTATGAACCAAAAACACCCGGCGATAGGTGGTATGGAGTAGTAAGATTTTCTTTACGGAAAAATATTACGGGGATATGGCTGCGTATTACCCTTGACCAACCAGCAGACATATTAGGGGTATGTACGGTAGATTTAATTTTTACAAATGCTGTCCCACCAAAATTATGTATTTCAGAACTGGTTTGGCCAAGTAACCACTTCGGATAATACGGTATACGATATCCGTAGGCCAGAGTATATATTGGAAGCCGGTTTTATTCTCTCTGTGCGTTTTTTTGTAAAATATAATCTAGCTCGTACCATTCCCAGCCTCGAGATGATAAAACTTAATGGGCAAACAATTTGTGCGGTTGGGACAACGGAATTAAGTTCTACGACCCCCAAGCCACAGACCAACAAACCGCAAATAGAGGATTTTAATGAACATCACACGATTGAATCCAGTACAAATAAACCTGGTAAACCACAGCCTAGGCATTCAGTAGAAGAAGTCGATCCAGATAGTGAATTTTACCAAGGCGACTATAATCTCCCACCAAGTTCTCCTAGAATCCTATCTGATAAGTCACCACTACGCGAATCGCCTAACTGTGGGACTACTGTGCCTAGAAACACTTCAATACCATTCAAAGATGGAGACACGTGGCGAGGTAAATTTGACACATTCATCAAAAGCATATTTCCTCTCAAAAAATTTATATAAGAATTGCAAAAGTATTTAATATAACCCATAACCGCAAATATATTGACTATTATAGGGCAATGGCCATGGCACGCAGCTTTATACCGATCCAAAGGTGCAAACTTAGTTTATATATGTGGTGCTACACTCATAACGGAACAACATGTTATTGCTCCGGCACATTGCGTTACCAGATATCACACGAAAGATGCTGGGCAGCCAAACAGCTTCGAAGTAAGTCTAGGTAAGATACACTTATATAAGGTGTGCCGAGTTATACATATTTTTTAAATAGACCATAAATATGATCATATTCGGAAGCTCCGACTTCCTAAAATTGCAAATCTTAAGCTAGTCATGATTTTTTTAGGAGCCCATTATAAAAAAATTATATTATCATTTTATCCAAATATATCTTCTTTTCCAAAATATGGTTTTCTTGAAAATAGTAAAGTTTTAAATGGCTAGGCATAAAAATATAGGTACTTAAAGGTAAATGTTCTATTTTGACTGTAAAACAAGGTAATTATAAAATGTGAAATATGCATTTAACACCGTTTAGATGTAATTTGGGTAAGTTGCATTAATAGGCCATATTGTAGGGTCCCCTATGGACATCTTTCCAGTGTCGGTTTATTTACGATTCACCCTATACAGGGTGATTCACAAATGGTGACCAAAAATGAAACTTCCTATTCTTTGGTGAATTTTAAGGGGTCTTTCCTATTTTTAATTTTTAAAAATAATTTAATAACTAGTAAGTGAAATAATTTGAAATTGGGCTCATGTATTTATGTAAACATTGTCCAAAATCTGAGGGCTTTTCCTAAAATTTACATATTCCAGTGGCGAAGATACAGGGTATCAATGGCATATTTTTCTAAATAAAATAGTACGCCACTGCTTTAGGGTAACAACCATGATATTTTCGAATTTGTCTTTCAATTTTTTACAAATTACTACTCTCTTATGTTTTTCGAAAGAAGCCTGATTTTCGAGTAAAACTTAAAACACACCATTTATTAGAAAACAGCGACAACTTATTCAACGTCCCTATATCATTTAAATATATGCAGTTTTAGGATCTATTTAATAAAATACATTCGAACTTAATTTCTCATATGCAATAATTGATAGAATAAAGAAAAGCTTCGCTTGTACCACCAAAAATATTCATTTTTTTAGGTAAATTTTATCTAACTAGGTTCGAAACTGATATACAAAACACAGTTGTATCTGACATAATTATCCACCCCGAGTACAACAGTTTAATATATATTAACGACATAGCAGTTTTAAAGCTGTCAAAACCAGTAAAGATTACAAATTTTGTGAGACCGTCCTGCTTGTACGACAGAGACTCTGATTTGAACAGTATTACTGGTAAAGAAGGTAAGCGATAAATACATGCTAGTTTCCTGTTCCAGAAAGCAAAAGTTTATATTTTTTAGGAACCATAGTGGGTTGGGGTATTGACAAAAACAGGAAACTAATGCAAGTTAAAATGACTATAGTGCCCATAGAGAATTGTATTTCCTCGGAAGTCATACCCGACAAAATCTACTGTGCTGAATTTATGAATGGTAATGTAGCTTCTTTTAAATGAAATAAAAATAATCGGTGTAATAGCACATTTTATTTTTTATTTAAGGCATATCTTCCTGCATCTTAAGATCAGTTAGTGGAATGGTACTTTCAAAAGATGGAACGAATTATCAAAACACTGTGTGGCAAATTAGGGGCATAAATGTATTTTCCGAAATCCAAGCACCATGTGATGAGATAAAGCACATGATTTTTACCGACGTCGCCAAATATACTGGATGGTTGCAAGGAATTATTAAAAGCGACAGTGAAAATACATAAATATTCTCTAACAAAACCATTTTTATATGCCATATTTTGTAAGCAAACTGTGTTATAGTAGTAATTAATAAATAATCTACAGGCTTAAGTGGAAAGTTTAATTTTACACAAATATTATATGCAAAAGTTTATATTGAAAAACTACAGCCCTATATTTACAAAGAACTTACTACTATACACCTAGTGGGTATACACGAATCTCCCCTTGAGAATCCTGTTCATTATTATCCTTCGTCCTGATGGTGTGGACATTCTCTTTAACCAGCCATGTCTCTTTATTCTCTTTCTTTCTGATGGTCGCGGAAAGTGAACACGAATCACATTACGTGTTGGGATAGTGAACAACCCCCCTGGACTTGTTTGAGGCTGAGACGTTCCTCCAATAGATAAAGAATGAAACTTTGAGGTAGGTACCAAAAATTGGCTAGTACAGTTTGTTAAACGACTACAAATAAAAAATTATATGAAAAATTAGGAGAATATATTATCTTCTATGCTCATTTACCTCATATAGGTAGAGACACTGGGTACTACACGAGTCCAGGCGAACATTTTTTCAAAATCTTTAAATTAGCTAAAAAGATTGTAGAATCAAATCAAAACATAACCTCCAAATATAAAATTAATGAGTAGTGTGCAAGGTGTGTTGGTTTACCATACTCCGTTCTGAAACTGGAGTTAATAGTGTAAGTGATAAATGAAGAAAAGAGTACCTGTTTATACTTTTTTTGAATATATTCTGAATTAATTAAATTATCCAATATTGCTATTGCCTCAATTATTTGTATTCATAATACTAATCTGAAAAATAAAACTCATTTAATTATTTCCCCATGATATTTTTTATTATTCTTTTCTTGATTCAATATCTTGAACTAACGCACCTATAGTATCATCTGTTTACGGAGGGAAATTTAAATACAAATATATTAGTTCTTAAATTACTGTTACTTTATCTGACCATATAACTGACCTTTGGAAAACGGGGATTTCTTTTTGCCTTAACCTTGAGGAATCCAAAACGACGAGCATAATTATTATGGAAATTAAGAATTCCGGTTTAAAGTTCGTCAAAATATTCAGACCATAAATATTTTGTACATCCACTTTTTAGGATTAAATTTAAACGACTACTTAATTATATACATTAAAGAATAGATATGTAAATTGCTTTTTGAGTGTGGAACTACAAAACAGATTTAATATAATCAGTAGAGTGGTCACGGCGTTCTAGTGAAGATTCGCAAATAAATTAAGGTCAAATAAGTTATATTGGGAATTGGTACATCCTAAATTTTTCTAAAAATGCGTGGTTTATTTAAATGAAGGTGAGTAAGTCAGTACATTAATTTAATATTACTTTCGCAAAAAATATTTTACATTGTAAAACATTTTCTTCTTTTATTTTAAAATGCCCAAGATAATTTACGAATAAGATTAAAAAATATTAGGCTTTTTGATATTTTATAATTTCATTATTCTAGTTTGAAAGGGAAGGGGTAGGGGGGCAAGTACAAAAAAAAAACAAAAAATAATCAATAGTTTAAGGTACATTGACCCTATTTTTTTATGTTTTTATGTTTTCCAATAACCAATTAAATCTGAATAAAATTCAAGATTCGAGTCACGTGGTATAAGAGATCAGGTTTGAGCAAAACAAAAAAAATATACATTTGGGAAGGTTTAAGTTTACCTTGATATTTAATTTCAAAGCATACGCGTTTGTTTATATCCTTCTACATAAAAAAATAAGCTACAAAGATATATTGTTCAACATTCTTTAACATCAACACGCTCAACCAAAGAAAACCAGTAAGATGTAATATTCTACAGGCGGAAATATTAATTTAAATAATTAAATTTTTTTTTCTAGTTACTTCAATGAGAATATTTTTTTATTCAAGAGATGGCTCCCGTTTTTCTAATTCTACTTGCATTTCTGCTTGATGTTGTGTCTTGTCAATTAGTGTCACCCTGCCCTAGACTCTTTCGCTATGAACCACAAACTAATGAAAATGATCGCTGGTATGGAGAACTGACTATAATAAGTGATTCAGATTTATCGGGACTTTGGTTGAGGATTATTTTTGATAAACAATCTGTTCAACTGGGGGTAAGTCAAATTATGTAAGAATATTTTTCGCCCATTCTCTAAAATGAATGTTAATTTACGTTTTCTAATATCCATCAAATATCTGATGAACAGATAATTTGATACGTACATTTGAGCTACAGCACAAAGTAGGCACTGTGGGGAAGTTTATAATGCACACAATTAAAAAAAAAAGAAATAGCTTTAGTTGGTAAATAACTGAATTCTTATTTAAAAAAATTGGAATAGTATTGAAAACATTTAAATTAAAACCACTCTATTTACCTTCTACAACTGAATAAAATATCTTGTCTAGATTTACGCAAATACAATACATTTATTGTTTATTTTACAAATAGTTATGCAAATATATTTTTAACACTTCAGCGCTTAATATTAATAACTAGTTTTGTTGTTTTTTAAAAGTCTGCTCCTTTATATTTCTTAATGACATATATTTACCAATTTAGTAGAATAAATTTAGCAAATTGCTTATTAACTAATAACTATTATTATTATCATCACAAAATGACACTATAATGCATGAATATTTATTTAAACGTTTGTATACAGAGCTTTAAAGCCAGGCCCGGATCCAGAGGGGGTGGCGATATGGCGATCGCCACCCCCAAAGCACAACATTCGGTAATAATGCAAATGCAACTAAAAATTTCCAGATTCATTTAAAGTCGTTTGACCTTGAAAATTTACGCATGCGGCGCTTTTTTTTCTTTTTAGTCAATCAGTAAATATGCTTCACACCCATCTTCAGTGTCACGAACCGTCACTGGAAATTTTCCATTTTGTTAGAGGCAGTAAAAGCTATTGCCCGAAAAATATCGTGCCAATAATGTTCTCGGACTTTTTAGGATTGTATTTAAAATAGCATACATATTTAGAAAAAAACTATACGAATATTCTTTGCAAAGCGAATAGTTCTAGGGTTATGTTAGGTTGAATAAATCAACTTTAGTAAAAGTTAAAAAAAATAAAAAATGGTTCGTTTTTTGAATAAAATTAGATACTTGTTTATTTGGAAAAGCCACAAACAGTTTAATTCGATTTTTTGCTTGTCAAATACTATCTATTTATGGACCATGCTTTTTGGTTTAAAATCACTCAAATCGCCCCTTAAAATTTAATTAACACCCTTTGTATTGTCATCTGAGGATTAGTTAAGATACAACAACACAAAAACAACAAAACAAAAAAGGGGTACGAGGTAAGACAAAAATCAATTAAAACTTAAAAAGAACTATAGATGTCGCGTTTGCATTTCTGAATTATTTTTTCTTGTATCTGATGTTAATGTACCCAGCAGAAAGTTTGCAACAATACATTTTGATATACAATAGTTTCCTTAATAAATTAAAAGCTGTTAACATAAAACATGTTTTTTTATTTCAGAACTGGTTTGGGGAAGTAGTAACGATGGACAACAAGGACTATCTGATTAAAAATAGAAATTTCAAAGTTAAGGCAAACGAGCCCATGAAGTTGAGGTTCTACTTAAAATACAAACCAAACGAGCCCCCGCCTCAGTTGGTTGAATTTCGAGTAAATGCTAAGACAGTTTGCCCAGAAGGTGGAGCTACAACACAGGCACCAACCACAAATGGACAACTTATGACCAGCAACGAACTGTCTACTACTTCAATACCTAACAACCCGGGACCTTCTATTGATACATTGTAAGATCCTTACTTGTTTGTACGAATATTTTTTATTTATGAGCAAGTCTTCATGGCTTAGATATAAATTAATAATACATCATCCCCTCCCTCACACAAGTTTGTCGTGAGCAACATTTCTCAAATTTGGGCAAATATATATTTAAAACAACTTAATAGAGACCATATAACATTATTTATTAAACTTTTATACATTTTTTTAGTGTCCGGCCTGGTGGTGGTTTTGTCATAAATAATCCCGATGAAGATGACTTCTTCCATGGTGATTTTGCACTTCTCAACAAACCAAATAAGAATATATTAAATAGCGCTTGTGGTGTTGTCATTGTAAGTAGCTTTTGTGAATTCTTATCGATCCCACTATCTTTTCAATTTAATTTAAGAAACAACCGAGGCCATTAATAACACACGGTCAGGCGACCCAAGAGGGCGAGTTCCCCTGGCACGCAGCCCTGTACATCGCCAAAAACATCGACTTATCCTACATTTGTGGGGCCTCTTTAATCTCAACGTATCATCTGTTAACAGTAGCGCACTGCGTTACGAGAAGAAAGAGCCAGACGACTCTGTCACCTGGAAATCTCGTAGTTTATCTAGGTAAGTGAAGTTCTTAACACTACCAAACAACCGTACATGTAATTATCACACTTTTAGGGAAGTTCTACTTGAAGACATGGTCTAACCCGGGAATCCAAGATAAACATGTGAAGAGGATAATAGTTCATCCGAAATACAATTCTCAATCGTTTAACCATGACGTAGCTGTTTTAAAACTAGTATCTCCTGCTGATATAACAGATTACGTAAGACCTGTCTGCCTCTGGGAAGGTGCTATCGGACTAGAGACGGTTATAGGAAAACCAGGTAGGTCAAGTTATAAAATCTGAGGGGTAGGATGCTCTTTAAATAGGTTGAAAGTATATAAAAAATATATTTAGATACATCAAAATCGACATAAGTTTGAATTAAACACAATTTAATACAATTATAAATACAATTTATTTATGTTTATACAGGGTGATTCACAAATGGTGACCAAAAATGAAACCTCGTATTCTTTGGTGAATTTTAAGGGGAGTCTTCCCTATAAAGTTTTTATCTATCGTTAAAATGATACAGGGTGCTAAACTTCAAAAAATATTTGTAATTTCTTTAAATAATTCAAAAACTAGTAAGTGAAATAATTTGAAATTGGGCACATGTATTTATGTAAACTGTCCAAAATCTGAGGGCTTTTCCTAAAATGTACATGCTCCAGTGGCAGAGATATAGGGTATCGGTGGAATATTTTATTAAATAAAATAGTACACCACTGTTTTAAGGTAACAATTTTCTACAAATTACTGCTCTCTTATGTTTTTCTAAAAAAGCCTGATTTTTGAGTAAAACTTAAAAACGAACTGAGAACACACTTCGATATTCGAATACAGGGTGTTTTTGAATGGAGTAGCATAAATGATACCAGTGAATCTACATTCAAAAGAACATGATCTGCAAAAAATCGCCTTAGTAAAATGTTCACCCCTGAAGAGATATGGGCCATCAAAGTTCTCAAAAATATTATGAAAATTGGCTGTAATTTGAAAACCGAACGAGGTACAAATAACAAATTTTTTACAGGTTGTTTACTAATACAGATGCGAGTTTTCAACTATTTTTCTAAAATTTTAACCCCTCGAAAGGGATTGAAATAACCACCCCTCAAGCGATTTTTTGCCATAACTTTTATATTTTGTAAAAACTCGATATCCAAAAATACGCATTAGATAAACTGGTTCTTTTAGAAACTTTTACCTCTCTAGCAATTTTCCTTTAAAACTTTTCGTTTATTAATAAAATAATAAAATGTATTACCATTCACCTCACA